TGGTCCATTCTATCTAATTAGTACTTTTGCTATTACTTTATCAACATGGTCTTGATTAGCCTACTAGACTGTAAGTAAGTAGGGACTACGTCTTTAGCTGTATTTCTATTTTCCAACAGAGCCTGTTAGAGTGTGAGGGAGCTTAGCATAAAAATGTAGAAGAAAGAATTTAAAATTGTTTTCCTTACACATGACCCTGCCGATGAACATATATTAGGGGGTAGATTAAAGAATAAGGAAGTAGTAGAATCCACACAGGATGGTTTAGCTGCCATGTAGAGCAAGGATGGATTTTTTTCCAAATTTCTTTCTAGGCTTTGAGATTAAGTTGCAGTGATAAATACACATAACATCAATAAAAACAAAACAGCTAACCATGGCCACTTGTTTAGTCATATTTAATTGTTATGCCTAAGAACATTTGGAAACCCATGATTGTCTTGGTATTTCCAAAAGATGTACAGGCATAGAGAAACCATACAGTGTTAAACTTTAATGCTTAGAAAAATGGGATGAATGTCACCTAGCAATGACAAAAAAGCAGATGACTTCTGCAGGTAAACACTGATCTAAACAAGCAAGACATCTTGGTTGGCATAAAATGTCACTTAGTGTCAAAGTGAGCTTTCTGTCAATTGTTGATAAAGCATTGTACCAAATACTCTTTCCACTTGAACTCTTTTGCCTTTGTGAGATCTCATAACTGTATTTACTTGAAAGAAGTAGTAGGAAAGTCCTGGAGAGATAAGAACTCTCTCTTTATTATTCTGTTCTGGAAAACAGAACAAAAATAGGTCAGTTCTTAAGGAAATGATGGCTGCATATATAAATAATGTAAACACTCCTATCACTGTCCTGGGGAGGACATTTATCACATAGACAGCTATAGAAACTGACATCTGGCCAATAAACTGGGTCTGTTCTCAGCCCCCTATTTACAGCTTTCAAATTTTGAGTTGTCAATTGGAAACTTGATTATTATCAGTTAAAAATAACCAGGGAACTCTGGCAATGATTTAACTTGTTTGACTTTCTTAAGCTAACAATTAACATTTTAGACTATTGTTGACAAAATATTTAACTTTCCCATGCCGTTTGTGCAAACGACTTTTCTAATATTCCGTGGACACACCAGTGGACACACCTTCCCAAAGCTGCTCAGCTCCACGCGGGGGCCTGTGGAAGACCTGCATTCTGAGACACTCAACACGTCACGCACCGCCCATGTTAGCTAGGATTTTCTGGGACCTTCAGGAACACTTAAATACATTGATATCTCAGTCTTGTCTTGACAGCACGGAGTCTGAAACACCAATCCCTCTATTTACAATAAAAGCTATTTCACCATTTCAAACAGACAACGGAAAGCTTAAGTATAATTTTAATCCCCGGAAAAACTGGCATTATGATTGGTTGTTTAGTAGTTTATTATTAGGAATACTAGTAATGATGCCTGGCATTTCTGCAGTGCTTTATTTTTTCCAAAGCCTGTTCGGAAACACACATTCATGTGCTTCCTTTGACAAGCCAGGGCAGCGTCCTTGTTCTTTCTGTTTTACAGATGACTGCTAAGTAACTTGTCCTAGGTCACCCAGCTGGTAGTGATCAAGCAGGCACAGAACCGAGGATGCAGACTCCTTGTCTGATCTGCTTTCTTTCCTCCACACTACATTAGAGAAAAGATAATCTCTAAAGCCAAAGATGACTTGGAACCACTTATCTATCCATCCTAGCAACAGTGAATGCAACAGAAAAGGAGCTTGTCTCAGGCAAAAGGGAAAGATTAATAATGCACCACGGAAGCTCTAAACCGTACTGTTCCATGGACCAGAAATTATTCAGTTTTACAGTTCATTCAGAGATTCAAACATAACTTCACCAGAAAATGATTTAGTGCCTAAAGCCTGCTCCAAGTGGTTAGAAATGCAGAGCTGTTCAAAGCCCTACAGCACGGGCCCTCTGAAAGGCCCTGTTCCCGCAGTGCCTGCAGCAGTGGGGCTTCCCCTGAACTTGTACTTGAGCTAAATGAAGAAACTGGCTGAGTAAGGGCTGCAGAATTCGGCTCTCAATGTGGACAGAATTAGAATTGGCTTGGAGGTTATTCTTGCATTGTTCTTGCATCTTAGACTATTGAAAAAACTCGGACATTGTATATTTCTTGCAGTATAACACCCCTCGAAGTCAGCACTATCCCATGGAACAGAAGTTGCCCTTTCACCCCCTTTCGAATATCACCGACTACATACCAGGCATTGTGCTGGCAGGTAGGCAGGATGCAGGGCTTTCCTGTGAGGGCGCCGTGCATATTTGATTTGAGATGATCAATATTCTCTGCCTTTCTCCAAAGGATGTTTATGGCCACTTATGGCATAGGAATTAACTATTAAAGTGATACACTCAACACACCCAGACAGAAATAAATCTGGCTATGGACACAGCAGCAATACAATTGAGAACGAGCTCCGACACTCATTCTGCGCAAAAGGCCGCTTGAAATTAATAGTGTTTTGGAAAATCAGAGGAGTCCGAGTGAAGTGAGACCTGCAGGTCTAATGGGCTTGGTGAATCACTCCCCAATGCCCAGGCCTCCCTTCGCACACAATGTTATCAGGTGAATACAGTACTTGCATCACCATCTCTGAGTGCCATGCTGAGTAACAAAGCACCAAATTTAGAAGCTAAAATGGAAAAGGGAATTTCCAATAACCAAAAGGGGGGCGGTGGATCACCCCTTGCAACGTCACGTTTTCAGTGAAAAACAACTATTAGAAATGAACTGCTCTCTTCACCCCTAACTCAGGCATGCCCTCTCGTCACCCTGCACTAAGAGACGGCGGCCCCCCGAGGGACTGTTTTAGGCGATGGCTGGTGGTGAGGAGAGAGAACAGATCCCCTCTTAGACCAGCAGTGGTACAGCAGCCACCTCTGGCTCCTGCAGCGGTAAAGCCTCCAGTCGGGAAAGGCCAGACACTGTTCTCTCACTTCCTCCCAGCGTGGATATTGCTAATCGCCAAGTTACAATAACCGCTGAAGTTGGTTTCATTTCCAATCCCCAAACCCCTAAGTAAAAAAAAAGGCAACCTCAAATTACTTTCAAGTTGGGGAAAAGCAAAAGCCAAAAGAACAAGGCCACGGGCAGACGCCCCCTCCTCGCAGGGGCTGGGAAGTGAAGAGCACCTCCAGTCTTGGCACCAGGCTTCTCCACAGAGAAGGGCTGGGCGCCTCCTTCCCTGTATCATCCCCAGAAACACTTACCGGGAGACTGGGAAGCACACAAAGCTGCATTATTGGGAGACTTGCAGACAGATTATAAATTTACTGGGGACAATCAAGGCATTTAGATTCTTTTGGCTGCAGACGCCGGTGACACACACACGCATACAAACCTCATTCTTCCAGCCGTTCGAGCGATTCCTTGCCCCCCACCCCCCTTCACCTCTGCATCTTTCCTGCACAAAACAAACTCTCTTTGCTCTCAGAGGGAATTTCAGGGAGAGCTGGGGATAGAGCAGGTGGCAGGGAGAGGAAATGAGTCCTTGAAGCTCTAATGTAACCCCCACAAACCAATTTTACTCAAGGACAAAACAGCAAACACTGGGCAGCGTAACTGTTAGCAGTTATTTTTCATCTGGAGTCGGCGCCAGGAAGTTGCAGTTCTAGGCATCCCAAGCAAAAAGTGTGTGTGTGGCGGGGAGAGCACCCTCCTAGTCCCCAGAGTTTCTGGAAACATCATCGCCACAGACCGAGGCCACAAAGAAACATCCTATGGGCCAGTCTGCAGGGTGGCCTCCCCCTAAAGCTGCTTTTCAAACTCCTTTGGAGAAGTTTGATGCAGAGTGCTCCTTGCTTTGGGCTTTTTGAGTACTTTTCAGCTTGCCGGGCTATTTCCTGCGGCTGATGTTCATTAGGGCTGACTTGGGCAAAGTGGAGCTGGGCTGTGAGCAGGCACAGGACTCCAGGAGCCCCGCAGAGCTCAGAGATGGAGGAAGCCGGCAGGGCTGCCGGGCTGCAGGGCAGGGCTCCACCTTCTCCCCAGAGGCCACTGGTCCTGCGGCTTGGGGGGGGGGGGGCGGGGGAGACGGCACATGGCAGGCAGTCACCTGACCAGGACTGGCGTCAAGAACCAATGAGTCAAGGGCTACCCCCTCCGGGATGGGGTGTGTCTGTGGCTGTGAGAAAGAACTTCCAGGCAGGAACTTAATCAGAACTTTCAGGTTTGATGTCCTGTCACCAGAAGTGGCTGAAGACAAGGCACTTCCCAGGATGATAGCTTGTCATGAGCCCCTTTGTGCCTGCCCACTTTAATGAATGCTGTGCTTCGCCACTGCCTGACTGTGGCGTCGAGGAAAGGGAGCTACATGGGAGAGAGGACAGGGGAGGCCAGAGAAAATCAGGAAGTAGGCCTCTAAAAATATTCCCTCACCAGCCTGGGATATTTCCCTCCAAATTTTGTTTTTACTGCGGGGACACTCAGGGAACTCTGTGTTGCAGATCAGCACTCGGGTTCTTTTAACCCAAAGAGAAGGGGCGACTTCAAAGGCAGGAGGGGAAATGGGACAAGAAGGAAAAGGCTTTGATAAAGGTCAGTTCGACTGATAAATGTTTGCAGGCTGAAGAACGGCTTGTTGGGCCTAATTAGAGCAGGCTAGCCAAAGCAGTAGTATCCCTGAGACCTGGCCTTCCTCAGCAGCTCAGATCTTGCCAGATGGTAGCCACCTCTTCCACAAGCTGTGGCCCTCAGAGAGCCTCTGGAAAACTCAGGCTTCTTGCCACTTAAGGAATAACCTACAGGTGGAGGAAAACCCCTGAATGAGCACCAGCAGAACTTGATGAGTAAGAGGATAAACCACACAAACAGCACACCCAATGGCCTTTGAGGCAGTCAGGTGACACCTCGGCCCTTTGCACTGCTGTCCACTCCACATCAGGCGAGGCAAGCTCTACCCTCACAAAAGGCCACACGGCCACAGCCAGAATCATGAGAAAACCAGGTGCCTTACCGCAATCAGGGCTGAGTTCCTCTGGTCCCCGGGGGTTGAAGCTGGTGGTTGCTGCTCCCCATCGATCCCACCACCGCCACCATTATTGCTACTGTTCAGCAGGTGCTGCTGGTGGTGATGGTGATAGTCTGGTGGGGGCGGTGGGGCTGCTGTCGCCGATGCTTGGGAGGCTGTAGGAGGCGCAGCAGGGGGCGGCGGAGGAGCTGTCGTGGTGGCAGCAGCTGCAGTGGCCTTGGTGTGCTTGCCAGTCTTCCTTGCCCCCTGGCCATGCTGGACGAGGCTCAGGAGCTGCAAGGTGCTCTCTCTTTCCCGGTCTGAGCTCTCAGCTCGACCACGTTCATAGCGTCCTTCACAGCTCAGGTGGTGCTGGCGGCAGACGGCGATCCGAGCCCGGAGGCGCTCCACAATAGCACTGTGCACTCTTGGGGGGACTGAGCCCCCTCCAAGGAGCCCCGCCCCAGGGGCCCCCCCTAGCCCTCCTGTGGGGGCCTGCGGGGGCGCTGTGTCCCCCATCTTCGTGGACACAATGATTGCTGCCTTTGGGATGGTGAGATGGAAGGAGGCTACTGCTGGCTATTGCAGGCTGTTTTGGACAATGTGAGCTCAGTGTTCAGGGCCACATGAATAGAGGTCTTCAGAGGTTGGGGGGAGCAGTGGCGAAGGTGTGGGGGAGGAGCTCAGTCAAAAGAGGATGAGGAGCAAGAACAGAAACCAATCGCAAAGGATAAGTTGGAAAGGAGCCCTGATCAACTTACTCTAATTGCATTTGACAGCGCTGGAGAAGGTGGACAGAGTTTGGCGGGGTTACCCCCGCGCCAAGCTGACAGCGGCCACCAGGTACTCTGTCACCACACAGTCTGGGGTTACAGCAAGAACTCAGGGATTGTCAAGCCAGAGACAGAGACAGCGAAGGGAACTGAGAGAGGTATTAATAGGGGGCTGGACTCCCCCTCACCTAGTTGTTTCAGAAAATTCTTTATGGGGATGTTTCTGCAGAGAAACGCATTTCTGCCATGGTCTATGTAAGCCGCAGCCTTTACTTTTCCTCAGGTTACAAAAAAGTGCTGTTTCAGAAGATTTTTGAAGTCAATGTTCAAAACATACAAAAATCAAGAGACCGTCTTTTGGCTTTTAATTTCTCTTCCCTTTCCCTTCGCTCCGGTGTTTTATCCTCTTTGGGGGGACAGTAGGGTGTCTTCTCCCAAAAGAGGGAGACGGCTTTTCAATTGTTAACAATGTCAGTAATTGGACTTTTGGACCATGCTTTTCTCTCCAGCTAATCCAATCACCGGTAAAATCCTCACTCCCTCTAAGGTTTCCTAGCCTTAAATGAAAGCAGTCTGAAGAGTCGCTAGCCACTGAGATCCTTCAACACATTTTTTTTTCTTTCCCGCTTACGTTTCTATTCCTCACCCCGGCTCTATTCTAATACAGTATCAAGAGAGACAAACTCTTCCGAGAGTAATTTACAAACGATGGTCAAACTTACAAACTTCCAGCAAATTGCACCGAGTCATGTCCAGCCACTTTTCTGTCCACTTTTGTACATTCCATCCCGGCCAGTGGATCTGAGGGTCTGGACTCGCAATAAGCAATGTGGTTCTCTCTCTCGTATTGCTCCGCTTTATAGATGGGGGGGAAAAGTAGCTTGTATTTTCCTTTCTCTTTCCCGTCTGTTGTTAGCCGCTTTGCTGACACTGGCTCCACTGCCCGGAGTCACGGCGATACACAGGCTTTCATTGTGCTCCGATAGGAGAGGGAGAGAAAGAGAGTGAGACAGAGAGGGAGAAAGAGAGAGCCAGCAAGCTGCAGATGGGGGGACGGAGGGGGGCGGAGGGGCGGGCGGGAGAGCGTATCCGGGGCTCCCTGGTGGAAGGCTGGTGCCACTGCACGAGTGAGTAATTGCAGCCAGGCACCGGGGAAAGGGGATCGCAGAGGGCCTCCCAGTGGCTGAAGAGGTAAATCCCAAAGCCTGCGCGTCTCGGCCGCTCGCTGAGCCCAGCTCGGCCTCAGCCTGAGCAGAGGGGGTAAGGCGGGGAAATTCCCCAGCCTCCACACAACTACTTCATCAGCTGTAAATGTTTAAGAAATCCCCGGCCAGGGAATGTATTTTCCCTTTCAGACCTACATCACACCCCCCTCTGCCAACCCCCATATCATTTTCATTTTTCAATATGTTGTAAATGACACCACTGAGCACCCTAGCGAGAGCTGGGTGAGCACTGAGGAAATGTTCATTAGCAGGCTGCATGAATTTGTGCGTGTTGGGGGTGGGGAGAGCGGGGTGGAGCGGAGAGAAAATCGCATTCACAGCGCCTAAAGGCAGGCAGATATCTTGTCTACCTTCCTGTTTGCGTGTCTCTGGACCTGGGTGACCACAAGCAAATCAGTAGACAAATAAAATATTTTATGATGCAATTACTAATACAAGTGCTAGAAAACAAAGTTTTTCTTTGAAAATACAAGATTGCCAATGACAAAACAAACGCAAGATCTAAGGTCTCCATGGCTACCTGGTTTACACCTCAGGAGGAGTCAATATGCAGCAGGTGAGTTTCAAGAAGTTTAAGAACACAGACCAAATAGATCTCTCACACAGACTGACGTCCCCTCATCTTCAGATGATCCTACCTTTAAGATTCCAAACTGTACACTGAATTCTGCTTGTCATTATCAATTATGGAGAATAAGTTAAGGTGAACACAATATTGGGATAGTTGGGACCATTTCTGTAACTGTGTGTCATTGGAAGTCATTGCATTTGAGGTCTCAAGCAATGGTGCTCTGTTAATTTAAGCAACCAAGATATCCCAGTAACATGGTCCTCCTGCTTCCAGCTGAGATGTGAATAGGAGTAAATGGGTAAAATCAATGCAAACATTTAAAGACAATTTAGTGGCCTAGTTTAGTCCATTTTATTTTCACAAGTCTGGGAATGTTTGGAATTGAGGACAAGTACACTCTGATAGAACATAACTTTTATATGTATCACTTGAACATACTTCTCTCTGTCCCTTCCCAGGCTAAGTCCCCCACCACTCATGTGCAGAAAGGCAGAAATGTATCTTGGTTAGGTATGTAAATTTGAATGGAGAACTCTCTCAGGAGGTTATTAAAAAGTGGAGGAGTTTTGATCATTTTATATTTGATTTTTTTAAAAGGCGTATTCATTAGAAATTATCTCCTATTATGGGTACTTTGTATTCAGCAATCATACTTGATAAATGAGAAAAAATGTAATGTTTAAATTTAAAACACTGTTCACTCTTAACAGTCATGCAGTAACGTGGATTTTTATTAATAACAGGGAGTCCTTGGTCAAATTCACTATTCCTAAGTGACGTCAACTTTGATTTCTATGCTAGACAGGGACACCTTAAAAACTTGTCACACAAGAATTTAATAAATTTTCATGCTATATTTCAGTGGTGGTGTAGGACATTCTTTAGTGTGTCTTTTGTACACATGTACCCTTTAGAACCATTTCATTTCAAGCTGACATCATTACTATCCATATCCTCATTTCCATTCACATCTGTTACTGTTTATTTACAATCACTGTTTCAGGCACAGCCCTTAGAATATATCTCCTTTAATACATACACAAACAATCCAGAGAGAAAGGTATTATCAACCCCATTTATAAATGAGGAAATTGAGACTGATCAAAATTAAACTACTTGTTCCCGTACATGTAACTGGGAAATAACAGACCAGGACTTGAACTCAAGACTGACTTCAAACCTATGCTTTCTTAACCACTGGGCTTACTGCTTCAGTATCAAGTGTGAAAGAGTTACAGGGAAGCCAGACTAGCCCCAAAATAGCTCAAGGGCTGCAATTACACCTCAATCAACATGCTGGAGTCTAAGCATGTCTTATAATACCGCCAAGAAATGAGTAGTGAATAGAACTACTCATCTGAATATGTGAGCAGACGAGTGAGAAAAAAATTGGTCAATTATATCTAATTGCCCATAAAATAAATTTTTCCATGTTTTTCCCTTTTTTATGGTGCTTTCCCCTCTTATAACCCTAAAACTTCTGTATAGCCTTATGCATCCTCTCAAGCATTACTTCCCTTTTACTTGTGCATTTCTTTCTCATCATCTCTACTATCCACAGCTACCTAACACCTAAAGCATCTAACACTATAAATAAATGCCAAGATCTAAAAAGTTCAGATATGTGAGATTTGTTTAAATTTTCTTTTTAGTGTTATACTGAAGAGTGATAGAAATGATGATGATAAAAATAATACAGTATGTCATAATACCTGTAAAAGTTAATTCTAATTTTCAACATTATTTTTTATGGACTACTTGCTTTTGGCCCCCTGATCTATTCTAATTCTCATTTCCTAACAGCCTGTCCTCTTTGTCATTCTTTGCTGTTATCATGTACTAAAAGCCTCATGTATTCTCTCTCCAAACTCACGCTGAAGAAGCTTGCCCATCTGCAATGACCTCAGACATCACAAATAAGGTCTGGACGCCTCACATGGAACATCAGCATCGGTACTGTCACCACTTTGTGAGCTTTTGTACCTGTTTAGTTTACAATAATAATAGGACTAATTTCAGAAACTATTAAGTAATCTTGATGTAAGGACTAAATAAAATGTAGCTTTTTATGTATGCAGATACAATGCAGTCCATGAAACAAACCACATAATAGATAAAGCCAGGCTCAACCAACATTTGAAGTAAGAACCAAGTATCTAAAATTACAGTAAAATAGCCCTGGCAAGTTTAGCTCAGGAGTCAGAGTACTGGCCCTTGGACAATTCCTAGTCAAGAGCATGTACCTGGGTGCCCTATGTGTGTCTCTCACATCGATGTTTCTCTCTCTCTCTCGCCTCCTCCCACCCTTCCACTCTAAAAATCAATGGAAAAAATATCCTCAGAGGAGGATTAACAACAACAAACAAACAAACAAATAAATAAAATTACAGTAAAATAGATCCTGCTGAAACACCACTTTCAGGAATTAAAGATACAGAACAGACAGGGTCCATTTATTCACTCTGAAACCATTTTACTTTTATTATATTATGGGGAAATTTAGATGTGCAAAGCAATGCAGATGCCAAAATATGCTTTTAAACCATTTTTGGCTGACTCTATCTCTCAGAGCTTCTGAATGTAATATAATACTTACAAGGTAAAATTATGGATAAAAAGAAATAAAATACATATTAATCATTAACCCATAGACAAAATTGAACAGAAAAAGAAAAAATCATGAAGCATGAAAATACATATTATGAATTGATTCCTGAATGTGAGAGTTAAAACTCTGGAGGCCTGAAATTATTTCTAAGGGAAAGTTTAGAAAAATAAAAAATCACTCCTGTACTTGGAATGGGTAACTACAGTCTGATTCTGAGGCATGGGGACTGAACTGAATGAAACACTGAGGTTTCTTCCATGGCTCACTGATTTACATGATAGTAGTACAAAATATATTAGTGAAAACAGGATAATAAACTGGTCTGGGCAGGGATTCAGCAATAAATGCATGTTGATGTTGGTCTAAGTACATTTTTAAAACATAGTATTTTTTGCCCGGCTGGTATGGTTCAGTGGTTGAGCATCGACCCATGCATGCACCAAGAGGTCGCCAGTTCAATTCCCAGTCAGGGCACATGCCCAGGTTGTGGGCCCAATCCCCAGTGGGGGGCATGCAGGAGGAGGCAGATCAATGTTCTCTCTCATCAATGTTTCTAACTCTCTCGCCCTCTCCCTCTCTTTCTAAAAATCAATAAAGAAAAAAATTTAAAAATATATATATATATAGTATTTTTCTATTAACTGACAGGACATGAACAGTTTATTCATTTGATAATTATTTGTTATAAAGGTACTGTTACATAACTTCAAAATACCCGTAAACATTATTAAGCTTATGTTTTCTATGTACAGCAGATGAAAGTTTTATTAGATTGTAGAGTGCCACTTCATGGAAATTAAGATGAACATGTTTTAAACAAGATACTTTGCCATGAAGAGATATATATAATATATAAAAAGTCACATGATACAGAGAAACAGGATTCATGATCTTCACACCTACAGGAATTTATAAAATCTTCTCTGAAGGAAATGTGTTACAATTCAGTCAAACTTTTCATCTTGAAAGTAATCCGCATCATTGAGATAGTCTTGAAGTAGATCATATTTCTGTGTATATAATAAAAAAGGTAGTTATTTTACTCAAAGTAATGAGGATAAGCTAGGCCTTTTCAATCTACAGACACAAATAGGAACAATTTCATTTCGTAGTACTCATGAACAAAAATCTTTTTAATATAAAGAGGAACTCAATTTTAAATGATCATTTCTAACTCATATAAAGCATTGGAAAGAGATCAATCTGAACATTATTATTAATCTCATTACGTTCCTGTAAATTATATATTTTAATGTATTTATTATAAAAGTGTAACAACTTCAATAACATTAAAACACTGTAGGATGCATAACATATATCAAGTACTCTGCTAATGACTAGGTACAAAAAAACTGCTGTCTCTCCGCTAACGAGGACAGAGTTCAGTAGGAATACACCGATGACAACCAATAACAAATGCCATGAAAAAGTATGGACACTGTTCTGAGGAAAGAGTGGCATCCAAGCTGTCCTATGAAAAAGGATTTGGTGGTGAGAATTCTAGAGGAGACAACAGTCCATGCAACAGTGACAAGACAAGAAAGTATCGGGTTTGACTACCATGTTTTTTAGAGGAATAAAGATAAGGCTGAACAAAAGAGGTTGAGGTCAGGCAATAAAGGTATGAGAGGCTGGGTTAAAGAGTTTAGCAATAATGTGACAGGCGATGGAAAACTGTTAGGGCAGGCGACTGACATGATCCAAGGTGTATTTTTTTTTTTTTAAAGGTAGCACATCCACTATAGAAGAGTTTGGCAACTACTTAGTAATGAGTGACAGCAATGAAGATGGAGAGTAAAGGTAAATTAGAACAAGAAAGAGAGGAGTCAGGATGATGTGGAGATTTCATCTTTGACAGAGTTCACAGTGCTTACCTCAGTTGGGGAGATTAACTAATGGTTTCTTAACTCTACTTAGGAACTCTGGTTCTTCCAGCGAGGTGATAACCCTGACTTTTGTGGTAAATGGAAGGGTATATGAGGAGTGCATTTTCCTTCCAGATAGGGCCATGAAACCTTCCCCCAACCCGTAAAAATCTCTGACTCAAAAAGAATGAAGAGCCCTGGCTGGTTTGGCTCAGTGGTTGGAGTTTCCACCTGCGGACTGGAGAGTCCCGGGTTCGGTTCCCACTGGGGGCACATACCTCTGTTGCAGTTTGTCCCCAGCCCTGGTTGGGGGCATGTGGGTGGCAACCATTCCATGTGTCTCTCTCACATTGATATTTCTCTCTCTCACTTCCTCCTTCTCTCCCTCCCACTCTACCTGAAGATAAATGCAAAAAAAAAAAAAGTGTCCTTGGGTGAGGATTAAAAAAAAAAAAAGAATAAAGAAAAGAAGAAACAACTTATGGACTACTTAGGGATTCTGTTCACCTAGTACCCAGACAGGTTTTACTAGATATAAGTAACGTACTCTAGGATTTAAAAAGCCTATAGTATAAAAGTTTGACTGGTTTTATGCTTTTCATATTATCTTTATATTCTTTTTTTCCTCTTATTTATGAAATTCATTTTGGAAAATTACAGTCTATCTGAGCTATACTAAGGAAGGAAAACCTCTTCTCGCTTTTATTACTAATAATAGCTAACATTACTTGACCATTTACTAATTCTTATGTCCTATACTAAATGCTTAAAATGTGTTACTTATCTAATCTCCACAATCAAAACCCTAATTATTATTTAGTTCTTATTTTACTGAAGAGAAAACTTAGACTTACAGAAGTGAAGAGACTTGCCACAAATTCTACTGTGAGAAAATAGTTAAATCCCTGCTTTAACCACTGTAGTAGCTTATTTCTGAGATTTAAAAGGTGGGGGCAGGGTGCAGCTTTAGGATGAAAAAAGAAGGAAAGTGAATTCAGAGAGAAGGCAGTATTGCATGGCCATTCATTCTCTCTACCTAAAGATCCTGCTTCATTATTTTTTTAATCAAATATTTGGAGAGTTTGGGTCTTATTATGTCAAGTCTGTAGAGTGCCAGATAGACCTACTGATGAAAACAGTTGGGATTATGGGAATAGAGAATGAGAAAGAGGTCAAACATAAAAGGAAGTTTCGATGGTCTACTCAGGAGTAGCAGTTAGACCTGCAAAAGGAACGGGCGAACCCAGTGCAACATTTACTTTTAAGCAGGAGCCCTCAGTCTTTAATTTGCTAAGAGTCACCTAATTTGTTAACCATTGGGCGTTTAACATCCATGAGGACTCACATTCAGTAATTGGTCCTCGGTGAGGCAAGGGGCCACACCATTTGTACCAACTTCTAGGTGATTCTGACAGGTAGTTTGGGGCCATGTTTTGAGAAACATCATTTTAAGGAGTGGAAGACAAGAACACGTTTTCAAGTTAAAAAGGGATAAAGAAAGAGAACAAGTACGAAGAGTTTTGGAAAGGGGCAGAATAACTAGTCACAATTTAAAATTCTTATGTATTTATGTAATACATTTGAAATGTACTTTAAACACATCTGTAAAACAAACTTGCTATTTGTATTGACATATTTTGTCACTTCCTGGGATTCATGTGTCCACCACCCCACCCCAACTATGTTCACTTTCCCTGGAAACCTCACCATCTTGTGCACTTTCTTCTTAACAAAAAACGTTTGTTAGAATTTTGCCAGTAGCGCATGAAGGTATGCTGTTCTGCTCAGATTTAGAATGAGACATATATTACTATTACATTTATTATATATTTTGGCTTTATTATAGTTTTATCATTTGCTCTTTTTTCACACTCAAGTTGCTCCTAATCTTTCATGTGATTAGGTTAAAGACAGATCTTCCTAGTTCACTTGGTAGGAGGGAGAAGAGAAGAATCAAGCCAGGCTAGGTGGTAGGTTTTGAGGAAGGAACGCTGGGAATCCTGGGACAATGGAGGAAAAACGCTCAGAGGAAGAAAGAGCCGGTGAAGGAAAACAGCAAGATGTGAAACAAGCAGGGGAAGGAAAGACAGGAACACACAGTGTGTGTAAGGAAAAGGGGGTGACGCAGTAACTGGGAGGAAGGTGCGGGAGAGCCACCGACATGTAGGCATTCACGTAGCACGGAGCCCTGGCTCTCTAACCGTGGCCGTGAGGCTGAGGCCAAAGAAGGCATCGCCATCACAGGAACCACGCAGTGCTGCCGCTCAAGCTCACAGACACCGAGGGGTGGGCAGGGCGACGGGAGCAATGTCAGGGCACTGGATCTATTCGGAAATTTAACCACAGCACCAAAAGCTGCATGTGGGTTTATATTGGCTATAAACTTCTTTAGTTTCCGGCATATCTTTTGAGAAAGTCTATGGACAAATATTTTTAAAGTAGGAGGGATCTCACACAGAAAATGAACCTCTTTGGCATTTTATATGAAAGAAATGTGCCTGTTGTTCTAAACATGCACGATCTTGAAATACTGTCAGTGCCCAATGCTAAATGTTTTTCTCTGGGCAGAACAGGACGCTTGGCTTTCTCTTCCTAAGAATATTTCTTCTTATTCCAGGTCCCTTGTGTTGTCACAAACTTTGTGAAGCTTTCTCGAAGGTATTCCATTTAAAAATGGTTTTAGGCTTTCCTGCAAAAAACATTATTGTTCTTCCTAGATATATAATTATATATATAATACATGCACACTAGTTTTTCTACACCTAGTACACAATTCTTAAAAAATGTGCTGTCTCAATAGGTCTTTCAACTCCACTAGAGGGTTGGCAACACTTAAATGCATCAATAAAAGCACTTAGGAATCTAATGTCATCTAGGAAAATGAAGACCGGCCTTACTGGGTAAGTGATGACTCCTCCCTCAGGCAAACTGAAAGCACAGAAGACAGGGTGGAAAGCACTGGGAGTGAGAAGCAGAAGCAAAGTGAAAGAGAAAAAGCTGAAGAGAGTCGAACGAGAGGAACAAGACCTAAGCGTCAAGGTGTGGGGAGCGGCCGAGCTCACTGGGTGGTGGTCTGTAGTGGGAAGACAACTGTCTAGAGGGAATCCAACCTTGATGTCCTTCTCGACCCGGAGACCTCTGCCGAGCAGGACAGAGCCTAAGAAGTTCCTGTTCTCTTTTTCTTTCCCTTTGCTCATACGTTTATTCTCTGAGCTCTCTTCTTTTTTATTTTCCTCTTTCACAAATTCCCCTATGATACAAATAACCCAGGCAATGGACCTCAAGTCAGGCTTTTCTTTTTTTTTATCCTCACCTGAGGCTATTCTTCCATTTTTTGTTCAGATAGAGCGGGAAGGAAAGAGAGGAAGAGAGAGAGAAACATCGATGTGAAGGGACACATCGAGTGGCCACCACCCGCACGACCTACCAGGGCCGGGGACCAACTGCAACCGAGGTACGTGCCCTTAGCGGGAACCGAACCCAGGTCTCTCTGTACCGCAGGCCGACGCTCTAACCGCTGAGCCAAACCGGCCAGGGCCAGGCTTTTCTTTTTAAGATTAAATATCCTGGTTGATCTGAGTTGCCTGCAAATCTACTATATGTTCTCTTCCCCATACATGTAACTAGACCCGTTGTAAAGACTTCAGTCACGTGAGCATCCTCTCCCTGCACCACACAATCTGCAAGCTCTGCCAGCAGACCTTCAGGATTCTAGTGCACTCTTCAAACCCCACAACCCCTGATACCGAATCTAGTGATCAACAGGATATGGGGGAATCAAAATCAGTGCCAAGGCCTGAAACCTCTGATCTTCCCTTACAGTGCTCACTGCTAAGTCCCATGTCCCGAGGGGGGGCGGAGGGGGTATGAGGACTGGCAGCCGAGATCCTTCCCTTGGACTGGCACCAGGTGCTTCGTCCCTCTCAGGTCACAAGAACTTTTCTAAAGAATAGGAAGCAGACAAGTAGAGATGAGTCCTGTACTTTGTCAAAGAAAATAAGGGGACTTAATATATATGTAAGGAATGCCACATATATAAAAGTGAAAGGACAGAAAGCTTTCATTAAGGGACAGTATTATTGCTGATTAAAATTTACCCGATGAGCTGAATGACTGTCTCACAACAGCAGGGTACCTATCCAGGGTAGGACAATGACAAGCATGAAAGGAATGGTGAAAAAAGAAAATACAAAGATAGGGGGAGAAGGAGAGATTCTCTTTTAAATGTCGCTGCCTTCTAACCATTGGCATCCTCCCACTGATCATAAATAGGCTCCAGAATCTACTGAATGAGATGGTTGTTTTATATTCACCTCACCTCCTTAATCCAGCCATTTTCTTTTGACTGCTTGAAAATTCTTTTCACTGTTTCTTTAACTTGTTCATCTGCAACTTCTCCTGTCTTTGTCATGGAGCAACATTCTTGGTACAGCTTGAACTTAAAATGTTTCAGATTATGATAAATTCTGGTACGCCGAGCACAAACTCTGCCAACAAAAAATACCTAAATCAAGAAATAAACATAATCCGACATATGATGTGAATAATAAAGCAATGAATATACACTTTCTGGCTTTCAGATTTTAGTAGTAGAATCTAATGCGTTATTCATTCTTTAAATGTTTATACAATGATTCCTTTACTTATTTATGCAACCCAGTGACTGAGCACTTGGGCTGAGCACTGCAGATACGTAAGTGAAAGACGTCTGTACTAGGAGAGCTTATGGTCTTGAGAGAAAAACAAATGATTACAAAACAATTTCCCAAATACTAAGCACAAGACTCTACCCAAGATACAAAGGTCAGACAATTAACCCAATCCAGAGGGGAGAAGGGTCATCAAGTAGGTGATGCTTAAACTAAGTTTTTAAAAAACAGAGTTCGGACCCTGGCCGGTTTGGCTCAGCGGTTAGAGCGTCGGCCTGCGGTCCCCAGGCACCCTGGTTCGGTTCCCGCTAAGGGCACGTACCTCAGTTGCAGTTTGTCCCCGGCCCTGGTTGGGTTGTGAGGGTGGCAACCACTCGATGTGTCCCTTTCATGTCGATATTTCTCTCTCTCTCTTCCTCTCTTTCCCTCCCACTCTATCTGAACAAAAAATGGAAAAATGTCCTCAGGTGAGGATAAAAAAACAAACCAAACAAACAAACAACAGAGCTCGGGAAGGCGGAGTAAACGGTGTGTAAGACAGGACGAGGGCCCCTGGAAGCAGGAAAGCATGCGAGCCACTGCAGGCATACAGCTGCTGGGTTCGAGGGCCTGCATGATGACCATTCCCCAGCTGCTGGGTTCGAGGGCCTGCATGATGACCATTTCCCAGCTGCTGGGTTCGAGGTGCCTGCATGATTGCTGGGTTCGAGGGCCTGCATGATGACCATTCCCCAGCTGCTGGGTTCGAGGTGCCTGCATGATGACCATTCCCCAGCTGCTGGGTTCGAGGTGCCTGCATGATGACCATTCCCCAGCTGCTGGGTTCGAGGTGCCTGCATGATGACCATTCCCCAGCTGCTGGGTTCGAGGTGCCTGCATGATGACCATTTCCCAGCTGCTGGGTTCGAGGTGCCTGCATGATGACCATTCCCCAGCTGCTGGGTTCGAGGTGCCTGCATGATGACCATTCCCCAGCTGCTGGGTTCGAGGTGCCTGCATGATGACCATTTCCCAGCTGCTGGGTTCGAGGGCCTGCATGATGACCATTCCCCAGCTGCTGGGTTCGAGGGCCTGCATGATGACCATTCCCCAGCTGCTGGGTTCGAGGTGCCTGCATGATGACCATTCCCCAGCTGCTGGGTTCGAGGTGCCTGCATGATGACCATTTCCCAGCTTACAAGCAGCTGCAAAACTAAACTCTCATACCAACATTAAGTACCGGTAGTTTCTGACTTAATCCTTATTTTCGAAAAAATGTGTAAAATGTGTAAAGTAAAAAGTAACGGTTTAGTCATGTCTGTGTCCTTAATTAATGAATCTGATCTGATTATAACATATTAATATTTTACTGTTAGCAAACTGCAAGAATTTTAATTTCTACATTTATATGGACTTCTAGGGTTTTATAATTAATAATCCTCTTCTTGTGAAATCAACCAACAAGAACATTCCTCACTCAGAATATTGTGAATATTGCTAGACACACCTACAGCTAAAATAGGAAAAATGTCACTGCGCTGACCTATTTAAATATAACTGTACCTACATTACTTCACTCATTGCAGGAAATGAAACAAAAAGGACTCCAAACATTCTAACATGATTAATCTTATTTTCATGGAGTAACCTTGCTAACTTAATGTATTTGTCTTTGTGCATAAATTCACTAACGGGTTACATTTTCACGAGTTCAGTACAAGTGATACAATAACAATATTAATTTACGTAACTTGTATTCTGCTTGACAAAGAATTGTGCGGTTTTTCTGAAGCCACACTGTAAGGGATCACACAGGTATAAATAATCTGAGAGTATAGTGGCAGAAATGATGAAAAGTTAAATATGATTATTAGCAACAGTCTGGTTTGATGGCATCAGCTTGTGAACATGGAGTTTGGGACAGCTTACAATCTTTTTAAAAATCTGAAGAAACGCATGTTCAGATTTCTGTTAATGTTCTGTGTAAACCTTTCTGTTTTTCAGATCATTAGAAATAATCAGGTATTACTATTCATTTGCTTGCTTACTCTATGCACCTTTCCCATTCCATTATCATTAAATCAATCATATCAATGATAACAGTTTACTTGCCGATACCTTCCATTTCGAGTGAAAAGATATTGCAATAGTTGCAGTGGCCACTAGAGAAACCTGTGTCTCTCCATTTCTATCACTAAAGTTGACTATATGGGGAAAGTCTCTTATTGCTGTTTGGGATAAAATACATTAAAAGAATAATGTGATTTTAATTTGTATCACACTGTATTCTACAGAGGAATTTGTACAGAATTTTTAAGCTGGGACAAGAGGTAAGAAGAGGTGTTTAAAAATCCTTATTTAAAAATGTTTTCCTGTATGTTAACACAGGAAATGTGTTAACAATGTCCACTGAATACATTAAACATTATAATTTACTTTTTTCCATTTCTAATTCCTACTTACACTTATGTAGGTCAATAAACCCAAAATTACCTTTAGAATATTCCCACACTATTTTCTCCCCAAAATGTGACCACATTTCATATGGAAGAGCCTAAGCCATTGTTAGTAAGACTTCATAGGAAACAGTCAATAACAGCTGTAGTACTGCAAGTGGGCCCCTCCCCACCACAGCCATCGTTAGTGTGTTGTTATACCGTGTTATACCTTATGAAGTAGTGTATACAGTACAACACAGTGTCCACTGTAGTATTCCATTCATATAAAGTACTAAATATAACAAGTAAAACTAACTTATGCTGTTAGAATATGTCCTTAAATATCCAGAATGTATTCAGATGCTACTTTTAATTATCAAATTGCATTTCTGGACATTAAGGACACAATTCTAACAAGAGAAACAGTATTAAAAATTGCCAGAGATAGAGAAATGAGTACTGTGATGACTGTTCTCAGAGCAGATAAGCAAAATGACGAAAATGATAATATGCAGGGTAGCCTATTCTTTGAAATGATAAATCTGAGGAAAACTGGGTCTAAGGGATTCAACATATGCAAAGATATTATTGGGAATAAAGCTAAGAACTGTTACCAAATTTTCCTAAAGCAGAAGATGGTGAATTGCAAATGTATTAGATATAGCATGTGAAAATGTAAATTAACAATGGTTGATAAAAAGGCAAGGGATGTAATGAAATATGCATTATGTACATTTGTAATATCCAGCTAACTGTAGGTGATTTTTTAAAGTATTTCTCTTGGCCCTATTTATATATGGAAGAGCCAGCTCCTCATGGAAGTTAAATATGGAGAAGAAAGGAAAAAAATCCTTAGGAAAGAGGAAGGATGGGGAGGAGTTTGTTTTCTGATACTAGGCCTCTAGAAACATTTAGTGCACTAGGCCAAGTCAAGGGATTCTACTTCCTCTTGGCCTGTTTTTCTGCATGAACACATTAGCCATTGTTACTTGTGTCATAATTACTGCCTCTCCCCATCGGACCTTAAGCATCTTCAGGAATCTGGACAGACTCTGGGCAAAACTGAAAAGTCAAGGTTGTTGGCAGTCCTCCCAACTGCCTTTCAGATTTCACATCTCTCTTTCCTCCAGGTGATTTCCTTCTCATCTGTGCCCTCTGACTTTACCGCAACCCAGCGGTCCAAGTCCTCTCATTTCAGTATCCGACCCAAGACTGCTGTCATTAAAATTTCTATCTCCCATTAGTTCAACTTTCCATCCAAGCATTCCTTCTTTCAAAGAAGCCACCCTCAGCTAAGAAAAGATTTATCATTAACCAAGTTTATTAAGAGCATTCTTTAAAAGTATTATTTGCATCTTAAAAGAGAATCCCAGCTAATCCCAAGGTATATCAATTTTATGTTAACTATAAGCAGCAACACAACATGGAGCATTAGTTTTCAAAATAACCTCAGGGTGGGAGTAGGGGTGATCACAGTCTCTTTATACCTTTGATTAAAAACAGATTTGTTTTATTCTCCTTTCCCTTTTCCCTTTGCTTTCTATACATGCATTGACATTGTAGTTCAGCAGGATTTTAATAAGTGGTTCTTCGTTTTAAGAAAAAAAATTACTGCCCTGGCCGGTTTGGCTCAGCGGTTAGAGCGTCGGCCTGCGGTCCAGAGAGACCCGGGTTCGGTTCCCGCTAAGGGCACGTACCTCGGTTGCAGTTTGTCCCCGGCCCTGGTTGGTGTGCGGGTGGCAGCCACTCGATGTGTCCCTTCACGTCGATGTTTCTCTCTCTCTCTCCCTTCTTCTCTCTCCCTCCCACTCTATCTGAACAAAAAATGGAAAAATGTCCTCGGGTGAGGATTAAAAAAAAAAAAAAAAAAAATTACTGAAAAAATTTAATATTAAAGAATACTGAATCTCAATCATACTCAATATACACAGTAATTAGTTTAATGTTTGCATATAGGTATACATACAGACATACACTCATTTTTACACAGATGCAAAGTAGTATATAGCTTATTATTTCATTTTTACTTAGCATTATTTCATAACCTTCAAAATATGATTTTGGTGGTTGTATTTTATTCCATCACAAAATGATGGTATACTTAGCTTATTAAATCACTACTCTAATACTTTATTTGGATCATTTCCATTTTTTGAATTGTAAATAATGCTTCAGTGAGCTTCATGATTATGTTATTTGCTTTTATTGAATTACTTTGCCAAGAATAAACTTACAGGCACTGAATATGTATAGCTCTGTAACTCTGGCTATATATTGTTATCTAGTATCTAAAAAGATATATCACATCCTTTCTTTATCTAGGAATCTTATTTTCCATGAAATTGCTAGTTCAATGAAGCCTTGACAGAACTGCATTTTGTCATTTGATTTAAAAATACTTTGCTACTTGGAGAGTTATTGACTGGCATCTTTAGGTAGTTTTAATTGTATGCCTTTAGCGAATAATCATTTTCCAATATATTTGTTAACTTTTCTATTTTCCCATTGTGTGACTGGTGTTTTAATTTTCTTTGCTTTTATTTCATAGACCTCTTATTTTTTAGATATTTGAATCAACTATTTTTTATAGTCTTTATTCCATCACAGGAATATCAGAACTCCAGAAATGGTTTTCTGATTCACACACTTCTTCAAGATTAGCTGTAGACAGCAAACACAGTGACTGTGCAGCAATATTTTTATCTATACATCAGAAAACAATCCTTAAAGTATTAAATGACTTTTATTAAGAGTCTAGATGTCTTGCCCTGGCCAGTTTGGCTTAGCGGTTAGAGCGTCGGCCTACGGTCCAGAGACACCCAGGTTTGGTTCCCGCTAAGGGCACGTGCCTCGGTTGCAGTTTGTCCCCGGCCCTGGTTGGGTTGTGCGGGTGGCAACCACTCGATGTGTCCCTTTCACATCGATGTTTTTTTCTCTCTCTCTTCCTTCCACTCTATCTGAACAAAAAATGGAAAAATGTCCTCGGTGAGGATGAAAAAAAAAGAAAAGAGTCTAGATGTCTTATCTCATAAAGTCATAAATTAGTTTTGAAACAATGGGGAAATTTCCATATGACTATTTGAGGAAAGAAATGTTTTTATAGTAACTTGCCAAATAAAACACTGAAGGTTAATTCTGAATTCACTATCCTCATACAAACTTTCTAAGTGATTCTTGCAACTCAGATTTTTCAGAGGGACATGGTCAACTATCGCCCAATAATGCAGTGGAATCATACTACCCAATCTAGCAGAATTCAGATAAATAGTATACGTGTACCTTAATAATTGACTGGCAGTATTTAGAGTCAACTTTGGGTCTCACTCTTTGTGGATATACAGACTCACCAGAGGGAGCTTTCAATATCAATATTTTTGCTTTTATAACTGCAACACTCTTACATAGATTAGAAAAAGAAACAGAAGTAGTCTGCATCTGCACTTCTCTCTCCACATTGCTCTCGTTTATCAAATACTTTTCTTCAAATATTTCAAATGTGTTCTTCAGTTTTGTCTTTTCAGTCAAAACCAACAGCACCTTAAGCATGTGGTCATTGCTCTAGACTGACACACTTCTGAAACAGCCTAGGGGGAGCATGGTTTTTCCAACTCTTACACTATGATGAGTAGGCATCCTCAATTATTTGCTCATGGACTGTCAATTAGGCAGATCATAAAATGTTCCACTTGGGTCAAATTCTTTGGACCCAAAGGGGTCATCTGCTTCTCCTGCCCCATTTACCACCCTATTCATCCTCATCCTATACCATAACCCCACCCCCTACAACCCACCCCAGCTGTGTGGGTGAAGTGTACTCAGAGAATACGCATGAATTTTAGTATTTTACTGAGTTAGGCGTGAATGTGCTTGTAAGACATCGTTTTCACACACAAAACTTGTAGCCTCTTTTCCTGTACCCTTGTCCCTTCTCCTAGTGCTTTAGCCGTTTGTAAACATAACTTAGGGTTGTTTGTGCAAGCTTACGTATTTAAAATTTCAAACACTAAAAACTAAAATGAGAGGGAAAACAAATACCTGTTCATCACGTGACATAAAATCATCTGCCTCCATAGTCCTGGTGCTATACTGCTTCCCTGACAAATGCACAGAGAACCTGCAGTGGCGATGCAACCCACAAGCCTCGCAGCAACAGTCTTTAGAATTCTTCTCGCGGATATTCACGTTAGAATAACTTTCTACCCGCTCCTGAAAACAAATAATAATGTAATTAAGCTTTAAAAGACTTAATGATGACAACAAAATGCAACATAAAAAGAATCTACCCAAATTAAAACCAATATTAGGCATCATAATAACAGGATGAGATGTAAGAGCAAAACGTGTACTGAGAACATAGTAAGTGTTTGATAAGATAGTTTTAAAATAGAAAAATACATTTATAATTTGGAATATTAAATGGAAAGAAACCAGACTAGAAAAAAAATCAGTTTCATATCCCTCACACTTATGAATTATGACTAAGTAGTGATTTCCACAGGTTTTATTTCTCTTCCTCCCTCTCATTTCCAGTTAGTGTTAATGAGGTATTAATTAATTAAAGATAGGAAACAATGAGCAGTAAAAATTCAGAATATAATAAAAGATTTAGGTTAGTCAACAATTAAAAAAAAACAGGATCACATTTAGTCTTCATTGTGTGAATTATATCATATTTTCCACAAAATATTTCAGAAATAATTGAATCCTTGTCTGGTTACTTACTAAAGTATTGTGAAAATGAACAAGTTGGAACAAGGACTGCTAGGTGGTTAGTACTGATGTGGACAGTAGAATAGCTGAGTTAGCAGTAAGTAAACAAAAAATATTTGGCATTCATAAATAAGCGTTATTTATGAAATTACTTGTGCTTGATTATTCTTGCTTGTGCTCTAGGTCTGCCTGTGCTAGATATTACTGTTTTAATTAGTACTATAGATTAGGTTTCACTGCAATATTTGAACTGTACACAATGAGCATATTAGCAGGGATACTAATCCACTTTCACATTCTCTATTAAGTATCCAACAGACTGATCATTTTCTTTCTACATTAGATGATTCACAACAACACTGCCTTTTGTCTACCTTTACTGTTTCTCATTTCATGACACTTCATGACACAGGTCACTCATAGGCTGACACTCAGAAGGAACAGGTAACTAACCACCTTCCCTCCCTGCTTCTGTTGTAAGGTTATTATGTTTGTCATATTATTTATTTTTTGTGGCATAACCTAGGTTACCCTGACCAAGATCGTACTGAATTATCTGTCTCTAAATTTTTAAGCTAGTATCTTGTTGTGTCTTAGTTATTTCAACATTGGGTTATCCAAATTCAGCATAACCTACCATAGCATGGTAAAGCATGATATAGCATAGTGGGCTTTGGAGTCAGAGAAACCCTAGAAACCTGAGGTTTCTAGGTTTAAATATTTATTGGCTTGGCTCATCATTAGCTGTGTAATCTTACCTTACTCAATTTTTCTGAGTCAGTTTCCTCATCTCTAATGGAGGAAATAATATTGCCTTCCTCATGGGGTTAACTTTGAAGAATGAATAAGAAACTCTGCATTTAAATTATTTAGAAAAATTAAATAAACAATGAATAATGCTAGTTTTCTTTCTATTAAAGAAAAATATCTATACCATGTTCTAAGAGTTGTATTATTTGCTTTACCTTCCTAAAGTAAATATTTCCCTTTAATAAAGTAGGTTAACATTTTATGTATCTGAGGAAGAAACTGGAGTTTAGAGAGGTTACAAACATCCAAAGTAAAAAAGATACCCTAAACTCAAGCCATCCTTCCGATTAAAGTCTTCTTCCCATAACTGTCCCTTAACTGAAACCATCTGTGGCTAATTTATCATTAGGTAATTTAAGGCTGAACAGGCCTTGGGTGAAGCCAAATCTGCTGACATAAATGAGGTAGAGCAGCGACTGATTTAAGTGCTAAAAGGATGTTAGGGAACTTGAACTTCACTTATCTTGCCATTTTCGTCTTGCTAATAATCATTAGAAGATAGAATGTTAGCAAGAGAGAGAAAAAGAAACCTTAAAAATCATATAGTGCACTCTCTACTTTTAGAGAGCATAAAAAAAATCTAGAGGATAACATGGAATCCAATAAATCTTATAAATTAAAAAGATGCTTTACTCAAATTGGTAGAATTAAAAAATCTCAAGGTGGAGAAGGATGTTAAAAACAACCTAGGCCTATATTTCCCAAATTGTACCATGGAAATAAATTATCCTAGGAGGTACAAGTAATTCACAATAGGGAGCCTCATAGTAAATCACAAATTTGGAAAGTGTTACATTTTACATGGCTCTCTTGAAGATTTACAGTATAAATTCACACATTAATGCTCCTTGAAAAGTCCTCCAGTTAAGTTAAACCCACTGTTTCTCAAACTTCTTTAACTTGTTCTCTGAAACAACAAATTAACATCCTGAGAAAATCTCACTTTATTCTATTTATTTATTTACTTTAATCCTCACCCAATAACATATTCAAGATTTTTAGAGAAAGGGAAAAGGGAGGGGGAGGAAAGAGACAGGAAAACAGGGATGTGAGAGAAACATCAACAGGCTGCTTTCCGTAAGTGCCCTGACTGAGGACAAACCCACAGCCAGAGCACGTGCCCTGACCAGGAATGGAACCCTCAACATTTAGGTGTACAGATGACACTTTCACCAACTGAGCTACATGGGTTAGGAAGACAATCTCCTCATTTTAATTCATGGGCTAGGCCCTAGAGATGTTCTTAAGTTATTCATCATTTAGAACTACTTAATTATTAGATAAGGTAGGTGTGAATGATTAAAACAATAATAGCTTTTAGAAGTGATAAGAAACAACAAGCTGATTATTTAACACAGAAAAATGCCAATAATTCAGAAGATTGTTCAGCCTGACTGAACACTGAAACCCTGAGAGGTCTCCCACTCCCTCCTGCCCTCCAGAGATTCCAAGACAAACAAAATAGTATACCTTATACTGCTCTTTCCAACGGCTTCTAGAGTATAAGCTATCTAGACGAGGCTGAATAAATCGGTTGTCCAAATAATGAAGAGATGTCAACATATCCTTTGCATATGATTTCTGCCTGATGCCATCTGTTCAGAGGAACAACAAAAACCCAATCACTTTGCCCTTGTGAAATATTTAAATAACTGAATACTTAAGGATTTCTTCTCATAACTTTAGGTTGGTTGGTTAGAAGCATTTCAAAATAAAATGAATGTTTAATGATGTAAAAAAGAAATCACTCCATCAGAGCATTAGGGAAAAGAAAGAACCACAGAGGCTTTCTAATTGTTCCTGAACACATCAAACTGACTCCTTCCTGAGGGTCTTTGCCCCCGCTGTGCTCTCTGCTAGGTCCACGCATTACTTCCTCCCTCACTTCAGGTTTCTGCTCAAAAATCACCCCCTGACCCATCTAACCAACACAGACTGTCCTTTTCTTTATCACTCGCCATCTCTTTATCCTTCTTTATTTTTTTAAGAACTCACCCCTAGTTGAAATCATATTATGTTATATATTTGTTTACTCATTGTCTGTCTCTCCCACTAGACTTTATGCAACCTGAAGGCAGGAATATCCTGTCATAGTCACTGCCATATCCTCAGCCCTCAAATACTGCCTGGCCCTAAGTAGGCACTCAACAAATATCTGTTCAATAAATAATGAATTAATCTTATTTTGGCACTCAGGTAGATATTCAACACAACATATTTATAGTCTTCATAAAGTGCCAGATAGTGTGCTAGTTGCAAGGGATACGTATATAAATATAAGGTATGTTTCTTCTCATACTCTTGAAAGGGAAGAAGGCAGAAATACATTTTCAATACAAGTTTAAAAAGTGCATACACATCAGTACCACCATACTGAGGATAATGACAGCACAAATGAGGGAGTAAGAAACACTTCTTGAGTAGGCCATGCATAGCTTTAAAGAGTGGAAATAACGTTATACTCACTCTCTAGGGTAGAAAGGGATAATATTCTAAGGAGGAACAACAGCATGAGGAAAGGCACAAAAGCTTAAATCAACATAACTTTTGGTGAAATTCAAGGAGCCTCAAGAGGCTGGGGCACATGTGTTGAACTACCCTGCTATTTTAAGAGTGTGTATACTGTATCTTCAAATACACAGTGACCTAGGGCAAGGAACTGACACAGATTTCTTTCCACATTTCACAACTAATAAACACGTTTTCAATGTGAAAGGATTTTTGGTGCAGTTGATTCTAGAGGGAACAACAACTGCAGGCCCTAAGAATGGGTGTCCTTGGTTTTGTTATGTGATATAGACAACTGTTTAAAAACAGGAAAAAGAAAACAATAATTGTTACATTCATATTATTAACTTACCATACAATGTTCCCAGAAATGATTCATCTAAAGCATTAATCAGAAGAGCTTCCACGACTCTTTCAAAGTGAGTGTAGTGATCACTAAAAGAATCTGAAATTAATTTAAATAAATATCAGAATCTAGTGGGCAAAACAATTCTTGAATATAGTAGGTTCATTTCTCCAAAGCGAAGAAATACTCTAAATAGAAGTTGCTTAATTATTCCAATTTATAACTGCCTCAGTAACTTCTCTAGTCATTGAACAAATCTCCATTTTCCAGATTTACTGGCATCTAAACCAAACCTTCTATTGTTATTTCAAATAATCTCCACTTGCCAAACTTGTTTAGGGAAAATTAAGACATACATTGTAAAACCAAATCAAAATCATCCCCTGTTCACCTAAGTTTAATTATCAACTTGACAATTAGAGAAAACAAGAGAAAAAACTCATTTTGGATTATTTACTATGTACATCAAACTTCTTATGCCTTTTCTTCCAAATAGGTTATATACAAAACTGTCTGTGAAACAGCTACCTATTGCGGGGTGGGGGTGAGGGGCGGTATTGGGAGGAGGTGTCTTGGGGGGGAAAGGGAGAAACATCTGTAACAAAAATAAATAATTAAAAAAAAACCCAAAAACAAATTGCTATCCTAGCCAGAATTCCAATGGCCATAAAAACTCCATTTCCCTTTCAGCTGCCACAAAGTTAGGATTTACCACATCAATTTAGAAAACTTTTATCTACTCTTTCTCACATCAAACATATTAACCTTCTTTCCCACTAACCCAATCTGGTCCATGAAATCATCTGTTTGATGAGACAGGTAATAGTAAGAGAGACGGTCCTACTATTTCCCATTGCTTTTGGATCAAGGTTTAGTATCACTGTGGAAATGTTCTCTATCAAACACGACCCATTCCTTGACCCAAACACTCACTGTAGAACATTTACTCTGTTCTGGGCATCTGTGAAGACATAGTAAAAGTAGCCAGAGTATTTCAGGAAAAGAGGAAGATGCTCAGTAAGGGATTAAAGCAAAATAAGACCTATTATTAGCATCCATGAGTGAATTTGAACTTTGCTTTCAGTTGAAATAAAACGAAGATAGGATTTAACATGGAGAAATGTTTTAACCTATATTTTAGTTACTCAACAGGCTGTAACTTCTTTCTCAGAATTTAGGGGAGCCCTGGCTGGCATGCACCAAAAGGTTGCTGGTTCGATTCCTGGTCAGGGCACATGCCCAGGTTTCAGGGCTGGATCCCTGGTAGGGGGCGTGCAGGAGGCAGCCGACAGATGTTCCATTCACATCGATGTTTCTCCTTCTCTCTCCCTTCCTCTCTCTCTAAAAATCAATAAAAAAAAATTAAAAAAAAGAATTTAGTGGACATTTTTAGTATATATTCTTTTTGTAAGAAAACGCCTTATTGAAGTACTAAAGTGAACAAAATGAAGCAGTAATAAAACTAGATAATAACAGTAAATAATCTGCACTTTACAGGGCCTGTGACTCATAGAAAATTACAATATTGATCATAACCATTTGTTTGTAAAAATCATTGTAACATAATTGGAAAATTATCTAATACTTTAAAATAATTCAATTTTGATAAGACTATAATCAACATCTGTATATATTATAGTGCTAGTAGATAAATCTATTTGTGAGTGTTAAAATGCACTTAAATTTTATCTAGCAGTTCTCAAATTGTATTAAGAAAACACTGTTCTGGGAATATTAATAGATATGTTGAGGAAAAAAATCAAGTCTATCCTCTGTGTACCTAAGTTTAACTACCAAATCAACTGAAACAGAATTTTTTTACCTCACTGAATTCTTATCAGAATTGAATGTGCTAATGTTCAACATTACTCACCACCTACAGAGTTTTGGGAAGTGCTGCTCTAACTCAAAGACCTTGATCGCATCCCTTTAGGATTGGGAATAAAAGGGCAGAGGATCAGAATTATTTGGAGTTTTTCCCTAATCACAGAATTCCTCTCCTACCAATGTGTATCAGAATCTCCTTCAAAAAAGTCAGGAAGGCCTCAATTTCATTGTGCTTGAGTGGATGGGTAGATGGTGACAGAATTATGCTCCTGGCATTTCAAATTATGTACTTACATGCACTGCTTTTTTCTCACAAGCTACTAGGTAGTATTATGACCCTCAGTTTATTTTCAGTTGAGGAAACAAAGAGAGGATGTGCAACTTCCCTAAGATCACACAGCTAGTGTTAAAACCAAGCTTGGGACGCAGGCACCCTGACTCCAGATTTCATGCTACTATCCTCTAGAGTCTAGATAGATGCAGTTCTGCATGGTAGTGAGATCTTATACTTCAGAATATGAAACTTTAGACTTGGATGGTAAATTTTATAAAACAGAATTCGAATCTCATCTTAAAATTAAGACAAATGAGACAACGATGAAATAATTTACTCAAGGTCACACAACTAGAGAGAGGCAGAATCAGGATTAGAGCTCAGACCTCTTCCAGAACTTTATTCAGTGCTTTAATTCCTCTTTTGGGTGGTTTTCTGTAGAATATCCTATAAATATTGTTTACAACTTCCCTCCATTATAAAAATAATTGCAAAAGGATACAGGAGAAAACCAAAAATATTTGTATTTATACATAAACTGATTTTTCCAAAGCAGTTAATCAATTTCCCTACACTAAATCATTAGATAGCCTAGTGATTCTGTTGATTTTCCATGCATCCTTTATCATACAGTAATTCTACAGATATGCTAAGGTTTTGTGTCAGTACCATCTTCCTACTGATCTGGCTGTCATTCTCATGTCAGTACGATACCACTTTACTTATTGCAACTTTATTGTAACTTTTTATACCTGGTGGGGCAAGCCTTTTGATGTACTGTTTTCAAATTTTGTTTACTCTCCTACAGTATCTGTCCTTCCAAATGAACTTTAGGATTATTCTGTAAAGTTAAATCAAGAAATTTCAGAAGAAATAACTTTTCGTACTATTACCTTCCAGAAACATGTGTCTCTCCTTTCCTTTAGGTTTTCTGTTTCACAGTAAAGTGTATTCTTGTACCTAGAAAGCTGTGCTTTTCTTAAGATTAGGCCTAGGAACTTTATTGTGTTTGCCAGTGTAAGTGGAATGTTCCTCCATTGTACCATCTAAATAAAATGATAGTATATAGTGAATGTGATCATTTTTCTGACATCTTTTGCTAATTCCAAAAGAATGGAGGTGTAAGCCCAGTGTAAAAGGGCAGAGGAATTGGCTTCTTTTTCTACTCTTAACAGGTCCCACCTCAAACCCACATAGGGAAAAAAAGAACATGAGAAAACTATGGAAATATATGCCTCATCCACTCCTGCTTGCGACGTATTCATATCCTTTCTCTTAACTTCTGTATCTTTGGTTAAATATATCAGAAACTAAAAGCATATATAGATACACACACACACACACACACACACACACACACACACACACACACACATATATAAAATCATATTATGTTCAAACAATGTCTTTTCCTTCTCAACAGTTATGTTTGTTTTACTTTCATGTCTTGTTACAGTGTTTAAAACACTAGAACAAAGTTAGTAAAAATATTTTTGTTATATTCTTTATTACAAGAGAATATCTCTAGTACTTCATTGTAAGTATGATGCTGTTGGTTTAAAATATGCTGTTATATAAAGAACATATGCTCGTATTTAAAAAATTTTTTTTTCCTTAATTGACTTTAGAGAGAGAGGAAGTGAGAGGGAGAGATAGAAATACCAATGAGAGAGAACATCGACTGGCCACCTCCTGCATGCTCCCTACTGGGGATCTGACCCACAACCCAGGCACGTGTCCTGACTGGGAATCGAACCAGTGACCTCTTGGTGCATGGGTCGATGCTCAACCATTGAGCCACACTGGATGGACTCATTGATTTTTTTAATACTTAAAAAAAATAGATATGGACATTAAATTTTATCAAGTGCCTTTTTAGACTCTATTGAATTTATGGTATAATTTTTCTCCTTTGACATTAATGTTACATTAATATGGTACCTAATATTAAACCATTTTTATAGTTCTAAAAAGAATGGTTAATTTTTTCTTTATTCTTGTAATCAGGAAAGTATTTACTTCGCATGTCTATTTGCAAATCTATTTTCATCAACTTATTGGGATGTCTGCCTCCCAATAAATAGTGTTCGACAACTCAGTATTTTCTTGTATTATACTTTTATATTCCCATCTCCATTATGTAAAGACCATCCAAAAATATGGTATGCTTCTTAGTACATTAAAGTCTTTTACATATCTCACTGAAGTTATGTAATTTTCTTCCTTTAGATTCCCATTTGTTCTCTTTTTCCCTCCCAGTTATTTGTGAAACAGGGTCTTCATTTCTATTCCTTGATGTATTATCCTCTCCCTCAGAACTATTTTCTTTTTCTTCTCTGTGCTAGAACTTCTTTTGTTTAACCTATATATATCATTGATGAGATTTTCTGTAGTGTTAATTCTGCTCTTTACTGCTTTCAATATAGATTTTATTTCTGACTTGATATTTAGATTTTCTGACAATTTATCCTTATTTTAGCTAGCTCCCTTTCACATCAAATTGCTCTCTTCTTATAACTTCCTATTTCTTTTGCACAGATTGCAAAGCAAATGTTTTATACAATTTTCTTCTGTTTCCTTTAATAAAACATTTTTTCACAGGTATTTTCTTCCTCTGAGTCTTCAGGGCAATGTTATCTTTGCCTTTTGCAAACATAGTTTACTGGACTGTTTACTATCCTAGAGCAAAAGGAAAAGTTCTAGAATTTAACCTTTAACATAAATGGCTGTGAGACTGTTCTTAGGCACTCTCTGTGCTGTGTTGACAGAATGATTCTCTTTATGTGCTAAGGTGGCAACTAAGGTGGTGTTCACTTAGTCCAATTTCCAGTATTCTGATCAGCATGTGTCTAGAAAGGCACTAGAGATGTACTTTATATCTAATGCTTGGTTCTTTGTCACTCTGAGCATGTAACAAAGTAGTGAAAAAACCATCTTCGGTACTCACAAATCTGATGGCTATTTCTACCCACCTGAGTATAGTAGTTTAGAGAGTGAACATTATATAGATTTGGAAAATAATGGACCATTGCTAGTCTATACCTCTACTCTCTATCATCTCTTTTCTGGAAGCCTTAGTCTCAGAATAGAGAGAAATACATCTACTGGTTAGAAGGGAAAAAGACCATAATTTTCTTCCAATGCTGCAGCCATGTAGCAGGAGGGAGAACTACTCTATTTTGAGGTGTTACTGATGTAACCACCAGCACAACTCCCAAAACAATAGTTCTGTATCTTCCTCAAAATTCACTTATGCTACCTCTCAATCATGGGTCTGAGATGTCTGAAAGACACCCTGATGAAAATTTTTAATAAGATGATGAGAAACTGGGTTGTATAGGCTTCAGAGAAAATAGCACTGGGAAAAAAAAGTTTGGGAATTTGTGCTTATAGATTAGGCTGAACTTATAGGGAAGAGACCGCCTGAAGCACAAGCAAAACAGAAGTAGCTTAAGGATGGAAACTTTAGAAACACCAATACTTACATGACAAACATAAAAAGAGAAAAGCAAGAAAGAGTGGTAGCACAGAGCTAAAAAGAGAACTTTCTGAAAGTGGGAGTGGTCATTGGTTGGTGGTAAATCATATAGCAGTACCAAGTTAATATATAAGAAATGAAGAGCATTTTGGCAACTAGGAAATTATCACTAACTTTAGTGAGAACAATTTCACTGGATTAATGGTTGCAAGAGCCTGAGTACAATGCTTTCTAGAGTAATAGGAAACTTGAACAAAAAGAGATTTAGAATAGTGGCCAACGGAATGTGCCAAACCAAGGGAGAAAAGGCATTCACTATGGTTACAATTTAAGGAAAGACAGCTTGTAACGATAGAACCAGAAGAATAAATTGCAATTAAGAACACACAAGATAAAATGTTGCATAACAAACGGATCACATGGCCCTCTGATGTGGAGATGCTCAGTAGTAAAAGCAAGCACAGAGCTCCTTGTATTTACCTAAATGAGTTGAAAATGTATATCCATAGAAAAATCTACACACAAATGTTTATAGCAGCTTTCTTCATAATTGCCATAACTTGGAAACAAATAATGTGCTTATCAACAACAGATGAATTAATAAACAAACTGTGGTACATCCATACAATGGACTATTATTCAGTGATAAAAAGAAATTAGCTACCATGCCACATTAAGACATGGAGGAAACTTAAATGCATATTATTAAGTGAAAGAAGACAATCTGAAAAGGCAATAATGCTATGTGATTCCAACTATAAAACATTCTGGTGAAGGTGAAATTATGGAGACATTAAAAAATCAGTGGTTGCCAGGGGTTCAGAGGAATGAGGGAAGGATGAATAGGTGAATCACACAAGGGATTGTTGGGACAGTGAAACTATTCTGTATGATACTGTAATGATGCATACCTATAGTTTCACTATACGTTTGTCAAAATCCATAGAATGTACTACTCAGCCATAAAGAAGAATGAAATCTCGTCATCTGTGACAACATGGATGAACCTAGAGGGTATTATACTAAGTGAAATAAGTCAGACACAGAAAGACAATATGTATGATTTCACTTATATGTGAAATCTAAAAAAAAATAAGTGAACAAACAAAACAGAAACAAATTCACAGACACAGTGAACAAACTGATTGTGGTCAGATGGAAGAGGGGTATAGGGATGAGTGAAAAAGATGAAAGGGGTTAAGTATAGGTTTCTCGTTATGAAACAGTCACAGGAATGTAAAGTATAGTATAGGAAAAATAGTCAATAATATTGTAGTAACTAACTATGTATGGTGCCAGGTGGGTACCAGACTTCTTGTGACCACTTCATAAGTTATATACTTGTCTAATCATTACATTGTACACTTGAAACTAATATTGTATGTCAACTTTAATTGAACAATACATTTTTAAAAATACCCCCCAAATCCATAGGATGTACAACACAAACAGTGAGCCCTGAGGTAAACTGTGAACTACAGTTAATAATACTGTATCTACATTGGCTCATCATACCAGATGTACCAAATAATTGTAAGATGTTAATAACAGAAATATTGTATGTGTGAGGGTTTATATAGGAAATCTCTGTACGTTCCACTCAACTTCTCAGCAAATCTAAAATGGCCCTTAAAAAAAACAAAAGCAAGCACAGATGTGTAGAATAGAGAAGAAATAGTTCCTACATGCTGGACTTTTATTTTCATTAATTAGCGAGTGGATATGAGTGGGTATCTCTCAGCAAACGTTCTAACACATTCTAGCTATATAATCCAGAATGATGACAGACCTCCTAATCGAATTTTCCTGATATTCAAATATCTAGGTGACAAGTGCCTACTAATCTAAGTAAAGAAATCATTAGCTTTCAATATATAGATTCCTATCATTGACATCTCTATAACTGCTAAATTTCTTGAAATTTGATGCACAGCTCAATCTACTATTTTATTACAAATCATGAGATCTAAATTGAACCATAATACACTTGATTTTTGCCCTTATAAAAAAAAATTGGAAAGAATGAATCCTTTAAGAAAAAAAAGTATAATAGCCTGTTTCTACCAGAGTAAAACATCATAAAAACCACCTTTAAATTTATGTACAATTATGGGGATCAGAATAAGGATACCCTAAATTTTCAGGGTCCTATTATTTATATGGTCACTAGTTATATGAAAATATGAAAGCTTCTATTTTCTATCTCTGATAGGTTTCACTGAGTGATACTTCAAGTCCTTTAGACCTCTGTAAATCCCTGTCCATTTGTGATCTGTGAAGTCAAAGCAGTAACAGTAAGATAATCATTTGCTGTTTTTACTGTTGAGATTTTCACTGATGGTGCAAAAGTAACTATGGGTAAGGCAGCTGGTACCTAGCATGGCATTAGTACTAAACTACTAGTCATCACTGCCATACACTCATTAAAAAAAGCTACTTTCACTTAAGAATGTCCTCGATTAAGTAGTAAAAATTACTAACTTTATTAAATCTTGAGTCTTGAGTATCCATCTTTTTAGTGTTCAATGGGAGGTATGCATAAAGTACTTATGCCACATTTCAAAGTATGAGTAGTCATACTTTGAGCAAAAATTGAGTTGGGAACTGAAAAAGTCTCAACTGTCATGAAACACCATGTTTACTTGAAAGAACGACTGACAAACTATGGTTATTCTGGCATTTGTCAAATATTTTCTCAAAAAAGAACACAGGGAATCTGTCATTTCAAGAACTCATGTTTTTGTTGCCAAAGACAAAACAAAACAAAATGAAACAAAACAAAACCACCCAACAGATATTTATGTAGAAAGATTTTTGAAAAACTTGTATCTGTTATTCTGAACTTGACAGTTTTCCCAACCTAAAGAATTTTCTGATAAGATTGGTGGTAATAGTAACAAATGTAATATTTAAAATATTGTATCATGATATGTATCAATATTTGGAAGATCTGTAAAACCCAGTGAACCAATATTTTCCAAATGACCAATGCATGATGTTACAAAATCATATATGGATAAAAAAAGATCCATTCAAAGTGCAAGATGGACAATGGCTTATAATGTAAGTACTAAAATTTCATTTATATGGTTTCAGATTCCATATTGCAACTATCCTTTAAGAAGCTACCATTTGTCTATTTTTTGTGTTGTGTGAAACAAGAATATCCACAATTACTTTGAAACTACTCCTCCCTTTTCCAGCTATTGGTGTGAAGCAAGATTGTTTTCATCAAAAACATCACAACAAACTGCAAAACCAGATTTGAGAACCCAACTGCCGTGCCTCCTATTAAGCTGGTCATTAAATATATTTATTAAAATGTAAAACAATGTCCTGGCTGGGTGGCTCCGTTGGTTGGAGCATCATCCCATACACCAAAAAGGGTGCGGGTTCAATTCCCAATCGGAGTACATGCCTGGGTTGAGGGTTCCATCCCTGATTGGGACGCATACAAGGTGGGTGGGGGGCAATCGATGTTTCTTTCTCACATTGATGTTTTCTTTTTTTCCCTACCTCTATTTCAAAAATCAATCAGCATACATTTGGGTGAGGATTAAAAGGAAAAAGAAAAACAATGTCATTCTTCTTATTTGGGGGGAAAATATAGTTATTTTTCATAAAAATATTGTTTACATTTATGTTTAATGAGCTTATTGTTATTTTTATGTGAAATAATAAATATGTTTTAAACTTCTGTTTTGTATTTCTACAATAGTAAATGATGGGTATAACCCACAGAAACAAAACCTCTTTGGGGTCCTCAGTAACTTTTAAGTGTTTAAAGGGTTCCTGAAACCATTAGAATAAACTACTATCAAGCTGACAGATTAAAGTAACCTGAAAATGAAGTCACAATTCCTAACTGAGTTAGAACATGACACTAACAAGCTGATTTCATACCTGATATAAAATCATGATTAGAACAGTCATAAAACATTTTCTTGATATTTAACTTACAAAGAGAATTCTGTTTTACTAATTTCAGTTGTGATGTAGTCAATTGTTCTCCTCCTTGCTGGCTTTCATTCTCTTCATCACCTTCCTCATCTTGTACTACAAAGTCATCAATAATATAATTATCTCCATCTGCATCAGATTCATAATCCGCCTCTTCCTCCTCTTCCTCCTCTTCATTTTCATCACTGTTTGGGCAGGATTCCCTTTCAGAGTCCTAATTAAGTTAAAACATATTCCTTCAGTAAACTGTCCCTTTAAAATTGTAAGCATAGATGTGAAATTAAAAGATTAAATCTGAAACAAAAAAGTGATTGATAAAAATTAATTTCATATTTTAAGGTTAAAAATATTTTTGTCATGTTAAATGTTGAAATTTGAATTAGAAAGAAAATAATATATAAAATGTTTAAAATAGACATTAAGATTGTAAGAAGATAAAAACAGGAAATACCATACAAAACAGTCTTTTAATTTTAAAGATGGTGGACTGAAGCTCATGATAAAACAATATATTAGAGCCTGGCTGGTGTGGCTCAGTGGACTGAGCATCGTTCCATGGAATGAGAGATCCCCGGTAGGGGGTGTGCAAGAGACAGTCAATTGATGTTACTTTCTTGCATCGATGTTTCTCTCTCTCTCTCTCTAAAAAATCAATAAAAACATTTTTTTAAAAAATCCAATAATATATTAGATACAGTACTGCAAATAAACATGTTCATGGACATTTCATTTAAAAATACTAGAATTATTGAGAAATAGAAGACTCAGCACTTTCATTTTTATAAAAATTAAATACTTAAGTAAAAATTTTAAAACGGTAACAAAATCAATAAAATATAACACACCTCAAATTCTCTACTACTAGTGCGTCTCTGACGAGATCTTTGTTCTGAGAGTTCTTTCAGTTTCTGGAGTTGTTCTCGCTTTCTTGCAGCTGTAGTTTTCTCAGGTTGTCTTTGCTCCATCTCTGCTGAAGAACATTCATCTTCAACCACTAGACGTGGACGTTTAACACCTACTTTCTTAACTAGGATATCACTATCATCACTGTCCTCGGTGTCAGACATCACAGAGGAGTTTCTTTTTCTCTTCCCTCGGTGAATGTGTTCTTCTTCTAAATCCTCCTCTATTATTTGATCAGTGTGTTTGTTGAGATTCTCCTCCTCTTGATTTGAATGCATTCCATGGTGTGGTAAGTCAATAGTACTCTCTTTGGTTTTGTTCTGTTCTTCATTTGTTGAATTGTTGCCAGTGTCAATGAGATGGTCACAGTTATTTCCTTCACTTTCAACTTCAATTAATTTAAGCTCTCTTTCACTTTCTGGCTTTTTATTACTATCAAGCTCCTTGTTACTAGAAAGCTCTTCATCACTATCAACACTTTCACTATCAAACTCTTCATCACTATCAAGCTCTTCATCACTATCAAAGTCTTCACTATCCAGGTCTTCATCACTATCAAGTAATAGTGAGATACTGCTTCTTTTAGTCCGCCTCCAATCAACTCGAGATTTCTGCTCAGGCTCTTGAGTTTTAGAACTTTTCCTTGTTTCATGTCTTCTTATATGTACCATTTTCACTTAAGCTTCTACAAAATAAAGTTATTAGGAACATAATGTTGATAACAAGATTACAATAATGAATACATTTGTGGTACAAACTATACTTGTTTGGTATTATAAAATATTCACAAGGGTAACATCACATTGAACTATCTGAGTGAAGATGGCAGAACAGTTATTAAATAAATAATTTACTGAACATCTATGAAATCATTATATGGACATCTATTCTGAATTATGCTATATGTTTTGCTAAAAGAGATACACAGAAAAATCATGGTCCTGATTCTTTAGAAGAGTATCGTCAATGTGTAGAACTAAAACATATACACATAATGAGAAAAACTCAACGTAGTCATTCAGCACCAAGTGAATGATAAAAATAACTGACAAAAATGGAAAGATCAGAACAGCAACTGCATCACTGAAGATTTTAGTGAATAGATATGATCTGATAAGACTTCTGAAGGACTGGTTATATTTGAACAAAAAAAAAGAAAGAAAAAAGTGATTTCAGAAAGATAAAAATGGTAAGGTCAAACTTTGGCACTGAGAAAGAACATAGTAAGTTTAGTAAATAAATGTGACCAAAAAGTTATGGGGAAAAAAAAAGGCTTTATGCTGGAAAAAAGATACAAGTATAGAAAAGTAGGGTGGGATTACCAGAATGATTCATCCTGTAAGCAAAGAAGAATTCTGAACAGAGAAATGACATGAATTATAACATAAAGGATCAATCAATTTATATGAAGAAAGTTATAAAGTAATAATTGACATAAGATAGCAGTGCAAAGTTGAGAAATAACCTACCCACTAAGACTGCAGCCTCTGTGTGATTTAGAAAATGGCAATGATTTTAAACCACTGAAAGTTAAAGATACAACATAATACAACATAAAACTTACTAACAATCCAATAATGCAGTCAGATAAAAAACAAACAAAAAGTTTCATAGCAAAGCAGAGAATGGTATCAGGAAAGAAAAACGAATGATGTAAGTTTCTTATTCAGAAAAAAAATGAACTCCATTAAAATGATTACAAACATATATAGTAAAGGAACACTTAGAGACAATAACTAGAAAAACAGTTACACAGTAGCACATATATACTTCTGTGGTTGCTAAGGAAACTAGAAACATCACAATGTAACAAAGACTGACCTCATAATAAATGTGTAAGAGTTTATGTATTCAAATGAATGCTATCTCCTTCAAAGAAATCACCCTATGAGGCTGATTATTCCAATATTTCTACCATGGTACAGACTATTCCTGCAGATTTTCTGTAAACCATAGCATGAAATATATATATATATATATAAATATGTGAAAATAGCCTCACTTCATTTTTTATCCCAAAGAGTAGTTTAAACAGACTTTACTCTTGTCTCAGTGATAAGAGGCTGTGTGAGTAGCTTCCAGAAATTAAATCCAATTTCAAAAGATGAAGATTGACTACCATTAAAGATACTTTTAAAATGTGCTGCAAACTCTTAAGGTAATTTCAAAAAATGTCATAAGCAATGGCAGTATTACCAAGCCAAGTTTATAGTGTCCCAAAATGATCACGTTTTTGGGAGTGGGGGAAATAACCATTCATTTGATTGTACAAATTCTGGTTGTTTATAAAGTAATGTGACTACTCTTATAATGGTAGCAACTCATAAAAAGTCAGAACAATGGTTGGTAAGATTATACAACAAAAATTATAATGTAGGCTTAAGTCTGACCTTATCACATTAACTGCTGCAAGATATCTTCAGCACTGTAACAGCAATTTAACAAATCCTAGTAAATAAACCAAATATTCTGTGATTTGAAATTACAATTGGGTTGCATCCTAAAGGATTATATTAAAATCAGCAAAGAAGAAAATTAAGTGTGGTTAAAATTGGCCTTTAAAAAAATATATTACTCTTTAAAGTGTGTGTGTGTGTGTGTGTGTGTGTGTGTGTGTATGTTTTGTATGCTATACTGCTTCAAAATATGTCCACCCAGTTTCTCTTCCACGTTTTAAACAAATTATTGCTTTTCCTTTTTATTAAACACCAGATAAATTAGGCGGCTTATATTTTGACGCCATGTGGTACAAAGAGGTATTTTTTAAGCACAATAGTTAAATTTGCATAAACTAAGTATGTATGTGCTTTATACTGTACTAAGAAGGTAAGGCATTCTAGTAAATCTAAACTGGAAGAAATAATGAAAAATATTATAAAAACAAATGACAAATATGACTTCAGTAGATACACTACAGCAAATATGAACAGTAGGAATATTAAAATGAAAGATTTTATTAGTACTCAAAGCAGTTTCATGTACACTAGATGATTATCTTACAAAATATACCATGCTGGAAAGATATCATATCAACAGATGATTCCTATGACAAGGGTAAAAACGATTAAGAATGTCATATTATAAAAATACCAATAGCTGCACAGTTCAGCTATTTTTTTAAAAAACCCTATTTGTATAGTAATTTTTCAGTACATTTTCATATATATTTTAAAATCTTGACAATAATCCTAGAAGGAAGATATTATCTATCTTTATAAAATCAAAGCCAAGGCCATAGAGTATAAATGACTTACCAAAGATCACACAGCTTGTTAGTGAGAGAGGAAGAATAGAAACCTGGTCTTCTGGTCCAGTGCTATTCAATACTGCTGCCAATATTATATTTGTACAAGGTAGTAAAACTTATGCTTTTAGAAAGTCGTTATTTTATCTCTCATTCATGCTAAATTTTAGTTTCAGAAAACAATCACTAAAATAGTTTAAATTTTACGAACACACTTCTTTAATGATGTAACTGAATGGTAGTACACATGGGTTAGGCCAGACACTTCTGAAAATTAGTTATCCGATAGGAAAGAAAAGAATGTACTAAAGATAGGAAAATTTGCAGATGTCTCTCTACCATCTTATTGATTACACTTATCACACAATTTAAGGGATTGTCCATTAAGATAAAATGAAAAAATTTCAAAAAATAAAAGGCAGTTTCTGGTGAGAAAAATATTTTATTTTGGAAAACTCAGTGTTAAATGTTTGAGGAGGCACATTTTCTTTAATTAAATAAATCTAGTTTCATTTGGCCCACTGGCAAGTTTTCAGGTTCTCTCTCATATTTCAATTATATTAATAATATTAAAACTTCTGTCAGTGAAAAAGAAGATAATTTGAATATGATCTGCTTCTCTTTTTAAAACAGTGAACTGTGGATACTTTCACTATGTTAGCTGGGGTGGGGTGGGGTGAAAGAATGATGACAGAGGGGAAAGGAAGTGAACTGAACCTGAGAGAAATGAGAAGGTAAGCGAGGCTGATGAGTAAGACATTTCTTCATCATTAGAATGAAAGAAGAATCCATGCAATTGGATGCGATTTCTATATATTCTGAGCATACACTCAATTTCTTGAAATGAGAATTTAATGAAGCTTCTCTAAAGACATCTTATCTTTAAGCACCAAGAAAAAAAGACTCCAAACAGAAAGCATTAAATAAATGAATGAAGATGATATTATCACACCTTTGTGATTCTTGATTAGTATCACGTAAGACATAGATACATTGACTGCCAAAGAATGTAAAAGTGATAATCCATATTGCTCATGTTCTTTCCCTAACACAGTAACTATGCAACTAATAAAGGGGACTTTAATGCCTTCTGCATTTCTCATCAGAAGAAATATCCTTTCTTCTAGACTTTGAGTTTAATTAATCCTCAAGAAAATATTAATTTTAGGAATCACCTAGTTGTCCTATAAACAATATAGGTGGCAGTTTACACTTTAAGATTTGAAGCACTGTGAAATTCCACCAGGAGGGATACAACCCTATTTGTAAAACATCACCCCTCCTTGATGTTTGCTTTTATATGACTGTTTAGAGGGGAAACCTTAATAAGCCAAAGAAATAGTTACTTAATGTATTCCAGGTGCCAGCACACGCACGGAGCTGTGGCATTACCAGAATAAATCAACAGGGTCTCTGCTCCCAAGGAGCTCACAGTTTGATGAAATTACTAGGGACATCAAACCAAGTCAGTATAATACATGATTTAAGGGCTACAGTGAATAACTTGATCATAGTTCTTCCACTGGTTGGGAACACGGGGAGCACACGACAAAATAGGAAACAGAAATTAAGAATCACAAGACAGAAAGCCACCCCCCCCATCCCCCTTATTATCACGGCCCAATACTCCACAATTTCGCAGAGTGGATCCTGCCAGTTTGGCGTCCCAGGCAAGTACAGTATTCATTAAAATCTGCAACAGTGAAGGTGGTTCACTAAATTCAGCAGGGATGAGTGGCAGAAGGAGGCTCCGCTTCTCCCGAGACTAAACACAAGTCAGGTGTTTTTTTGCAGCGTTACAAACCTGGCTCGCAGGCGGGACGCAAGTACCTGTGCAGCACGTCCGCCCGTCGGTCCGCTACTCTGCCTGCAGGAGGGAGGAACAGAGTCGCCAGGACATCGGACCCTCGGACACCCTCCTGGACGTGCGCTGGACACAAACCTCTAGACCCTGGAGGAGCTCCGCACTCAGAAAACAAACACGGGTGGGAAAGGCCAGAAGCCCGCGAAATCGCCACTCGTAGTCCCCGTATCAGGCCCGCCCACTTCCCCATTGCGCGGGGAGCCTGCACCCCGCCCACTGCAGCGCATCCCGAATGTAGCGGCTGCGCTGTCCCACCCACCCCGAGAGCGTCCGCGGGAACACTTCTCCACGCCCCTCTGGTAAACCGGGAGCAGCGGGAGCCCGAGCAAGTCCCCGCCCCGCGCTGGCCCGCGCCACCCCTGTGTCCTCACCTTTCAAAGCCTCTCCGCCTCCGTCCCCGCCTCCGTCTTCGCCTCCGCCCCAGGCACTCACTCCGGACTAGCGACGCTCCTCCCTGTTCCGGGGACCAGGGGAAGTCCCGCCCCTGGGAGGGCCAGGGGGCGGGCCAGGCGGCGGGAGAGGGCGTCTTCCGGGAGCGTGTGCAGGGGAGGAGCGGTCGCCGCGCGTTAGTCGGGAGCAGTGCCGACTCCGGCTTCCAGCTGAGGTGGGGAGAGGGGCCCGGCGGGCTGGGAGGGCCGGGAGGGCTGTCTGGGCGAGCCCCGCGCGGGAAGTGGGCTTGCGGTGCGGAGGGCTGGCTGCTGGGGAAGGACTCAGATGACCGTGCCCCAGGGCAAGTGGGCCAGTCCCAGACTCCCCTGGCTCTTCCGTTCTCTGCCCTAACTTTGGGGTGTGGCAGGGGTTAGTGACCGGCGTCCCTGGGGATCTGGGCGAGAAGGAGGTGGTGGTCACGGTGGGGTTACAGTCTTTTCCGCGGCCGCTGGGGAAATAAAACCAATGTTTGTAATCCGGATTATCCGCGTTGATTCGGGGCCTCCTCTACCGCCCCTCCAAGTTAGAGGCCTGTTCCCTCCAACTTCCTTCCTTCTCACCTGACTCTGCTGTCTCTTTGCCAGCCCAGCCCAGCCCAGCCCAGCCGGGGGCCAGGGCCACCACGTTCCTGGTAACTGGAAAGACCGAGGTGCAGAGAGTCTGTGAGAGAAGGATTTTGTGGACTGCTTCAGTGTGAGTGTGGGGAGCGTCCCAGAGCTTCACCATGTCCGGGAAACGGAAGAGAGTGGTGTTGACTATTAAAGATAAGCTTGATATAATAAAGAAACTGGAAGACGGAGGTTCTTCCAAACAACTGGCAGTAATTTATGGAATTGGTGAGACCACAGTTCGGGATATAAGAAAAAATAAGGAAAAGATTATAACTTATGCAAGCAGTTCTGATTCCACCAGTCTTCTGGCTAAGAGGAAATCGATGAAGCCGTCCATGTATGAGGAACTGGACAGAGCAATGCTGGAGTGGTTCAACCAGCAGAGGGCCAAAGGGAATCCTGTATCCGGACCCATTTGTGCCAAAAGGGCAGAGTTCTTCTTTTATGCTTTGGGAATGGATGGTGATTTTAACCCCTCTGCTGGTTGGTTGACTCGTTTTAAGCAGCGGCACAGCATTAGAGAAATTAACATTAGAAATGAAAGATTAAATGGAGATGAGACTGCTGTGGAAGATTTTTGTAACAACTTTCAAGACTTTATTGAACGAGAAAATCTGCAGCCTGAACAGATCTACAATGCAGACGAAACTGGACTCTTTTGGAAATGCCTACCTTCCAGGACTTCAGTAATCAAAGGTAAATGCACTGTCTCTGGGCACAAGTTAATTGAAGAAAGAGTCACTGTCATGTGTTGTGCCAATGCAACAGGTTTACACAAACTTAAACTTTGTGTTGTGGGGAAAGCGAAGAAACCTCGCTCCTTCAATTCAACTGACACCTCAAACCTGCCAGTTTCTTATTTCAGCCAGAAAGGTGCGTGGATGGACCTTTCCATTTTCCGACAGTGGTTTGACAAGATCTTTGTGCCACAAGTTCGAGAGCACTTAAGATCCAAAGGCCTGCAAGAAAAGGCAGTGCTCTTGTTGGATAATTCACCAACACATCCAAATGAAAATGTCCTCAGGTCAGATGATGGCCAAATATTTGCTAAATATTTACCACCTAATGTGGCTTCATTGATTCAGCCCTTGGACCAGGGTGTCATAGCGACAATGAAGAGAAACTACCGTGCACGGCTTCTCCAGAACAACTTGGAAGAAGGTAATGATCTGAAATCATTCTGGAAAAAGCTAACTCTGCTAGATGCACTTTATGAAGTAGCGATGGCATGGAATTTAGTAAAGCCAGTTACCATTAGCAGAGCATGGAAGAAGATTCTCCCTGCCGTAGAGGAGAAAGAAGGCTTGGACTTTGAAGAAGAAGATATTTCACTGGCTACTGTGGCTACCATTTTACAACACACCAAAGGATTGGAAAATGTGACTACTGAAAACATTGAAAAATGGCTTGAAGTGGACAGTACTGAGCCAGGTTATGAAGTATTAACTGACAGTGAAATCATCAGAAGAGCACAAGGCCAGACAGATGAATCCAGTGAAAATGAGGAGGAGGAAATAGAACTGATTCCAGAGAAACATATCAATCATGCAGCTGCTCTCCAATGGACTGAAAATCTATTGGATTATCTAGAACAACAAGGTGATATGATTCTGCCTGATAAACTGGTGATACGTAAACTTCGAGCCACCATCAGAAATAAACAGAAGATGACCAACTCAAGTCAATAATGGCATTTTAATGTGATTGTTTTGGTGATTGTGTTTGTAACTCAACCTCTTTGCAATAATGGCTTTATTTGTGTGTGTGTGTGTGTGTGTGCTGAATTCTCAGACACCGTCCTATGAAATACAGATACAAAAATGTATCTGAAGTGGTTTTTGAGGATTATGTGTTATGCATCATCTGTGCCTCTTGTCCGTTTACTTATGCAGATAATCTACAGCTGGTTCTGTATAAATATAAATTACATGTGCACATGGTTTCACTTTTGTAGATCTATAATTATCCCTTCCATAACAGTGGCATTCCCTAAATTTTCTAGCAAAAGTTACAAATAGTAAAACAGATTGAGCATTTTCTTGAAATCTTTTGTTTGAATTGTGAGCATTGCCACAGTAATCTTGTGCTAACCCTGAAATGGTTATCTGTTTTGTGTATCTGTATATGCTGAAAGAACGAGGAAGCATCTATATTGTTAGATTTCAGGGTGATCTATAATAACTCAAAATGAATTTCAATAATGAGGAAACAGTGATCTATGAATTACAAAAATAACTTAGAAATCATACTTCTGTTACATTTGGATGGCAATAGGGAAGACTTTTTTGGAAATGGAAGTACATATAATTCAGGAAGTGATTGTTAAATTAATGAGAAAACTATTGGAAAACAGAAAAGATATTCTAATCTATTCACTTGTAGAAAACTGGAAGTTGAAAATTTGGGGAGCTTTAAGTTATTTATATAAAGGGAATAAATAGGCTTCTTTTAATTGGGTCTTTTTATTATGAATTGGGTAACAGTATAGGTTTATTATTTATTCATCTAATTATATTACAGGTTTTGTAATGTTACATGTTGGTAATGTTATGTGAGCTCTTCCACCTTATTTGTGGGGGAACATCTTGGGAATTTGATAGTTATTTTACTGTGTACTTGATATTGTGAATAATTTGAAAAAAATTGTCATACTTTCTCCTTTTATTTCATATGAAAGAAGCAAAAGAAATGAGAATAAAGTTTTAATTGTTTTAATAAGCCATAGGTCATGACCTGCTTTATGAAGAAAGCAAAAATAATTATGGAAAGTGCCAGATTCTTAAGAATTTCATCATTTATTGTTTTGACACTTGTAAACATTGTAGAATTTGTTAAAATTTTGATAAATTTGCTCAGTAAGTTTAGTATGTTTGTTCAAGACGTGAAAATACTGCCTATGTGAATAATTTAATTTGTGATTTAAAAGCAGAGTGTCTCCATAATTTAATGTTTTGGACCTATTTTTTTTTTAAGATAGAATTGTTCTCTGTCAGTCATTTTGTAAAGTTTAACTATATCATAGAAATACTTTGCATTTTATAGTGCCTTTCTTAGAATTCTAAAACTTCAAAAATATTTTTTGCTTTCCATAATTTCTGTTATCTTCATGGTAAGTGTCTAGATTTTTTTAAAAAGACATCTGTAATGTAATGAGAACTTCAAAAGTTGTATGTGGGTATGAATTGCCTCAGAGCACAGAGGAAAAAGCGTCAGAAGTTAACAGATATTGAATCAGGTAATTACAGGTAAATTAATTGTATATAAATGGATTTTTCATTTTTCTAAAATGAAAGGATGTACTACAAAGCTTCTTGGAATTTCTGCCTGGGTTTGCTCACTGTTTTTAAAATTAACCTTGTCAGTGAAATTCAGCTGTATCGTTGCCACCTAGTGGTTAACTTAACATTACTGTTACGCTGTGTGGTTTTCAACTTTAATATCTAGTAAAAGGTTCACTGTTTGTGGCCTTGAGTGTGAATCTTGTGACTCTTCTCTAGCCTGGGAAAGATTGCTTTCTTTGACTTATAGCTATTTGCTCTTTTCTGAGTCTGCCAACACTGGTAAACTAACAGTTCTGTTTCCAAGCCGTGTATCCTTAATGATAAAAGCCCCAATTACTGAATACTATGTTATGGTCTAAGCAATGTATTTATATAGTCCTCAAATTGTGAATTAGGTGAAAATACTGATGCTCAGTTTATACTCTTAATTGCTGAAGATTACCACTTGGTTATAGGTAAAAATTTAAGCCCAGGTATTTGATGCCAAAGCTTCTGCTTACATTATTCAACCTAGGCTAACCTCTTAACTTTTTCAAATCTTCTTTTATTCCTTGCTGCCTCCTTCCACCACTTGCCACAGTTAACTGAACTTTCTTATCAATTTTCCAATGGCACCAATTGCCTTTACCCTTTTATGAGATTACTTTTCCTTGTTCACTACTCTGTAGTGTCTCTATTTCACTGTTTATCCACAACCTAATAGCATTTGAAACTTGGATCATCTGTTTTCTGCTTTCTGGTTAGCCATGCTCAGTGAGGATCCTTTCACACTTCCCATTTAAAACCCATCACTGGGGAAAAGTTCATGCAAACACTGTTTGTCTTTAGTACATAAGGCAGTCACAAAGAGTTGGCACAGTACAGTACTAACAAGAAAGTCTTGTTAGACCAAATCTGTTGGAAACCATTATTACCAAAAGCACATGAGCATGTATACACTCAGATCCATAGAGATCAAAGGGGACAAAATGAAGCCCCCATATAAGATGATATGGGAAAGAGAATGAAGGATAGGTTCAAATTGGTGGTTAGAGAAAAAGAAAAAAATGCAAGGGAAATGTGGCTTGCAGTGAGGTTCATTTTGTACTGCTGTGCATTTCAACATCCTAGTCCCGGGCTTACCAGTATGTGCTGCTTATGGGCCCTTTAAACTTGTTTTGTTTTATTTTATTTTATTTTTCCTTTCTCACTTATTCACTTATGGAATGTTAAGGAGTCAGTGCCAAACTAAATATGTTTGATCAATAGTTGGGGCCATTTAATGGATGGTGCCAGAAGATGTTTGGGTACTATATCTGCCCCCAAATCATACCTTCTTAGATTCCAATTCCTATTCCCTCACTCTGCCACCAAAGTTTTGGGTTGGCTTTCTATTTCTCCACCAAGTAATAAGCCATAGACTCATATTCTCTAAGCAGCAGCCAGGTTTCCCTATTGATGAGCCTAGATACATCTTAGGAAGCCAACTACGTTACAATGTTTCTTTAAACCCACACTCCTAGTAACCAAGAATTCTGTGAGAGTGGGTATACCTGCAGGGGTTGATGCAGGAGAAACTTGCCTTTTTTCAAATGAGAGATTTGGGCCTTTTCAGGGTAGATGGATGAGGGAAGTGGAATTCTTTGCCACGTTTAAATTCAGTAAATCATTCTAAAGAGGCTTGCATATATATAAATGGTTTCTAATACTTCATTCTTTGATGTTAGGAATTTACATTAAATATTGCATTTAAAAATAAAACCCCATTTTAACAAAAATTGACTCAAGAATTCATTGAGTTTTATTATATGGAAGACTGTACTGGGGGTGGTAGGTTTAGGAAAATCGAAAAGGAGGAGTGGTTCTTGTCCTTCAGGATCTTGAAATTAAGATGGAAAAAAATAACATTTGCAAAAAAGCAAAACCATCTGATTTAATTTTAAGCTCATAGAACAGCCAACATAATGTGATAAGGACTATAATGAAACCATTATGATTTATTTTGCTTATTCATTCCTTAGCTGGCTTCTACTCTATTTAAAGTTTTTCTTTGTTTTTCAGATTTTATTGCTGCTGAGTGACTTCATTTCTGTTACCTGCATGTTTATGATCCCAAATCTATCTCCAGTCACTGTTCAGAAGTCCAGATTTGTATCTTCAGTTGAGTAGCAGGGTTTAAGTTTGGAATGGAAATTAAAATTGCTTTGCTTCCCATCTATAGTTATCTCTTAATTAGCATCCTAATGTCGGAGCCATATAGACGGGCTAAGGGTTTCAAGGAATTTTTTTTAACTAAATGTCAAATTAAGCTTATCTACTTTGGTCTGAAATGGAAAATAGGTAGTTACCTATTTTCTTATCTATATCTCGTCTTAGGCTTTCCTGATGTACATACATTGCCTCTGACCATTCCTTCCCATGGATAGCCATAGTGGTTTATGTTTTGGGTACACTTGTTGCCACTCAAGTAAAATTTAGTTTGTTGTGTTATAATCCCTAATCTTAAAAGACCATCATTTAAGGTATCAAGGCAATAAAGGATTAATTGTGGTTAAAAATTCCTTTCAGGTATAATAATATTTTATTTAAAAATAATAAATTTTAAAGAAACAAAAGAAATCTGAAAGAGAAATGGATAAGTAAAGGGATGCTGAATAGAATAGTGACCAGCATTTGTATAATCATCCTTTTTTGAAGGAGGAAAATAAAAAAAACATAAAACATCAGTGATAACAATGATGGCAGATTTGTTTTTAAAACTATTTTTTTAAATACATATTGAGATGAGCTGTGTAGTTTCCATTACCACTGAAAAACAATAGCACTCGGAGTTTACCTTTTCAGTAATAACATTTCGACATAAGATCACAGAGATGCTTGGTATTTGATGCCATTTGAAATTAAGAGAATAAAGGTGTTAAGCAGCCAAGTAGCTCCTCTATTCCCCCTTTTATACATGATGTCTTTTGTGTGTCTATCTGACAAAGTATCAGCCTTCATAATAACCTTGCTGTTGTCTATAGACAGCCTCATTTTTCTGCCTTTTGCTGTTTGATTTCTATAGCCTCATACAAGATTGACAAGGGAAGACCCTGAGTAGATTTGCTTGGTATAAATTGACACAAGTAACAGAAAATTGTCAGTATGTGTGTGAGGGGGAGAAAATGTACAAATTTTATTTTTTATAAAAGACTTATTTGACAAGGCTTTCATTGTATAAAGCATGTAACGAAATATTTGTTGCATAAAAGTGTAAGTGGTCCATGGTAACTGAAAACGAGACTGCATTTAATCATACAATTAAACACCACTGTTGTTCTTTTAATTTTCATTTAAGTATTTAGGACATATACTATATTTTTACTCTGTATACTGCAGATATTTTAACAAGTGAAATAAACTTTAAGGCAATATGGAAAAATCAGTTATCCATGAATTAATTTTTAAGCTATATTTGTACCCTCATCAGTATAATTTTTTTTTCTAATCTTAATAAGAAAAATTGTTTAATATATTAAATAATAAGTCTCTTAAAGAGACAATTACCCCTTTTAATTTTAGTACTTTGTTAATTCCTTTAATGTAACTATAAAATTTTGCCATTCATTTAACTCATTATCTACCAACAAATATTTACCTACTCCATAACTAAAAATTTAAATAATCATCCCCCAATTTCTTGCAGATTTGTGTGGTCATGAACTTGAAATTAAATCTATATATATTGTATGTTAAAAAGAAACTCTTGTGGCTGTAAAAAAGAAGGAAATCTTACCCTTTGTGAAAGCATGAATGGACCTGGATAGCATTATGCTAAGTGAAATAAACAAGTTAGAGAAAGACAAATAACACATGATTTCACTCATATGTGGAATCCAATGAACAAAATAAACTAACAAGCAAAATAGAAAGATTCATAAAGAACAGACTGACAGCTGTCAAGGGAGAGTGGGGGACTCAGGGCTGGGTGAAAAAGGTGAAGGGATTAAGCAAAATATAACATGAACAGACAACAGCATGGTGATTACCAGAGTGAAAAGTGGGGCAAGGGGTAGATTAGAAGAGGGTATTGGGGAGACAAATGGTGATGGAAGGAGACTTGACTTGGGGTGGTGAACACAATACAATATACAAATGATCTATTATAGAAGTGTACACTTGAAACCTATATAATTTTATTAACCAATGTCACCCCAATACATTAAATTAAATAGAAAAGTTGATGCCCTGGCAGGTTTGGTTCAGTGGTTAGAGTGTCAGCCCATAGACCAATGATTCGTGGGTACGATTCTGGTCAAGGGGCATGTACCTTGGTTGCATTCATCCCTGGCCCTGGTCGGGGTTCTGCGGGAGGCAACCAGTCGATGTGTCCCTCTAACGTGATGCTTCTCTCTCTCTCCCTCCCTCCCACTTTGTCCGAAGATAAATAGAAAAATATCCTTGGGTAAGGATTAAAAAAAAAATTGACTCTTGTACATTAAGTTGCTGTAGTACTTCTGTGGTCATTGAGGTGGTGGAGATGCTCAGCTAGATTGGTGATTTTTGATGAGTTTTAGCATACAGATTGATTTTTAAAACCAGAGTTATTTTGAGGTTATAATTTAGAAATACAGTATGTAATGCTTATC